CCTAAAAGGTCTGCCCATTGTGCACTTCTATGGAAATTTAACTGATTCACAAATCAATTTCGAAGCGAAGAGGAAAAAACAACAACAACAAACCAAGAAATGATCAAAACAACAGTTAAAAATGGTATTGCAATTTCGATTACAAAATCACGTTAAATTGTATGTGGGTTTTTTTCTCTCTCTCTCTCTCTCTCTCTCTCTAACACTCGATTTTGCATACGTCAGCCATCAGTCAAACAATAATAATACACTTTCGCGCCGGCCGACCGACGGATCGATCGCTGGGTACAAACAAAAGTCAATCGAAGAGAGAGAAAGAAGTCATCGCCACATTATCTGAATGATAAAAAACATCACTTTCTTTTACGAAACTCGTTTTGACTCGGCCGCCGGTCAATACGTGTGACGACCGCAAAACAAATTGTATGATGTGTATGTAACGATTGCATATGGCACCATCAAAAAATCATCCGATTCACATTTCTGCAGTTATACGAGATATTTTGCGGAAATTTCTGTTTTTATTGGCATGTATGGTTACATATCATGTGGTAAAATTTTACCGATTTAAATCGACTTCTGTTTTCACTTGTGCCAAAACGAAAGACTGCTTTTTCTGCTGTATCATGAGATCGACATCATCAAAATGAAAGTAATTTTTTTTTCGTTGAATTTCCCCCAATTTTACGATTTGTTTGCCATTTCATTTCCTCCTCCATTCGATTTCGGTGGTTATGGAGTGCAACGCGGAACAAGTAGAATAAATGGAAATACCGTTAACCCACTGAAACAAATACGTACGGTTCATGTACAGAAGAAAAGAAATATGAAATCGATTCAATTTCGAAGATAGTCGAAATTAATCATTTCGCGTTTTGTAGATCGAACAATGAACACGCACTACACGCACTCGTGCATCACACCGTATCGACTTTACTGTTCAAATACTACGCTCTAAATATAGAGGAGCGAGGGATATTATTAAATTTTGTGTACATTTCATTTTTTTGATAAGAGCTCTCTCGTTGAGAATTTTGAGTAATTATATTTTGATAAGATGTTGATACAATGCACTGGCACCGAGCTCAAAGGTTATCAGTCTAATGTGACAAATTGTAGTCACTGGCTGACGGGAAAATATTTAACGCACCAGGATACAATAGCATGTCAGAGAATTTATGAAGGCTGCTGCGACAAAGACTGTAACAAAGATGTTTTAATTCATCACCTCACTATCAAGTCGAGTAAATTGATTTCTGATCTTTCATCCGAAACAAAATAAATTGCATTCTGTTCCAAAGAGATGTTGTCAATCGCACAAATTGCTGTCTGTCTTGCATTCAAATAATGATTTTTTTTCCTCCTTTTGTTTCATTTATTTCTAAATTTTCAATAAACAGAGCGCAGCGCGTTGCTTTTCGTTTGTTGCTTTGTTAAGTTGAAGTGCAATGATATTAAACGACTAATTTGATACGCAATTTGCATCAAACGGAATCTAAGCGGAAATACGAAAAATGCAATCTAAATCGGTAGGGGTATTTGCACAAACACACTGGCACACTGAATTAAATTGTGTGCTGCTGTCGACGTCGTCGTGGTCGTTGTAGTCGTCGTTGTTGGTTGCAGTCTGCGCCGTAATATCATTTTATGTACTGGAAAGCATTGATCAAGCATAGTTTGTGGTAACGACCGTTTCGCTCGCCTCGGTTCAAAACGCCACATACGCAAAAGAAAATAAAAACAAAATCCAACTTAAAATCAAGCCCGATTTTGAAATAAAAGCCAACCGTTTTTTTTTTTCATTTTCATTTACATTGGCCATAGCTTTTGTCGAATCAAAATGACGAATGCTAAAAGTAATATAAGTACACAATAATTCCGGTCTGTGTGCTTCAAGCTAAGGCTGACTTCTGTGCAAGCGTGAGTTGACTTGATAGAGCAGCTTAATGTTCGACTGAGGCATTTTTTTACGGACAATAATTTAATAATTAATAAAACCAATTACTATGTTTAGCGTTTGCTTGCTAGCGGGTGCAACAGCAACACACGCAGCACCGAGGAAATTGTTCGTTCATGTTTCAAAAGCGAGAGAGAAAAAACAAACACACACACACTTTACGATCGAAATGGCTGTTTTTGTAGTTTCTTGCTGTTGCTATTTGAAGGCTTCACGAAGTCTATCACTTTGAGGTGTTTCATAAAAATGCGATTCGAGTGCATGTGATCTATTATGTGTACTCGATTAATGTATATCACATCGAATACACAATTCACGGGATGCAAAATTAACGATAAGTCAATTGTCTCATTGATGCAATAAGCCGACTTATTCTTTGAAAAATATTATCTCTGTGCTGTCGATAGTAAAATAAGAATTGGACAACTTTCATAAATATTCATAATAAACGAGTTATCAGCTGAATGTGTCTCATTCAGCGAAATCTATTGAAAATTTATCAATGCATTAAATGATCGCAAAAACGATTCAGTAATCGAAATTCGCTGAAACTAAGAACTCGATTGGGAATTTGGCCAATTTCGTCAATTGCAGAAATTTTAACGAGAAAGAGAGAGAGAGAGAGAGAACTGTAGAAATGTGATTAATTAGCTGCTAGTTGAGTTTCGATTTGAGCAGCCGTGCACCATAGACATGTTTTGCTTGATTACATTTCAATATCGGGTCGAAATTCGTTATGCGAAAACGAAAAATGCTTTTTGTTCGCTTCATTTGAATTTTATTCAACAGAAAATCGCTTTGTTTGTTTGCATTATTTCGCAGTTTTTTTTTCTCTTGCTCGCTCGCTTTTTTCACTATTGAATTCTTTCGCCGGATCACCGTAGTAGAGACACGCAATCTCAATTGGTTCGTATTAGGTAACCGACTGAAAGAACGTGTTAGTGTGCAATACTTTACGATAAGTGGACACGCAAAACGCATTCGTTTCGAGTGCAAAAGAGATGGAACAACAATGAAGAGAAAATGTATTACAAACATTGTTCAATTATCGCGCGCGCGAAATACGATGTGATTAGGTGATATTTTTTGTTCAGTTCCCACAAGTCTGGAAGTGAACTATCTGGTTGCATCTAGTGAGAGAGGAACGGCAAAAAAAATGAGAAATCAACAGATAAACGCGTTGATATTGGTTAAATCATGCAATTTATTTCGAATAAAATGAAGCACGCACTAATTAAACTCAAATTTTCATCATTTTTTTTTCGCGTCAGTAGATAATGCATTTTAAATTCAGTGTAATTGGAACTGAAAGGCGCGTTCGTTGACAATGAATTGCCTTTTTACAATGGCTTATGACAATAAAATCGGTGGAATTTTAACGGTTTCAATTAATTGCGGAATTTTAACGGGCTTTTCATATCTTCAGTTTTAATTGACTGGGTATTGAAAAAACCAAAATGAAATAAGTAGCAGCACCGTTCGTTTAGTCGGAAGGAGTTGATATCACTTATTCAAACATTCTTCCCCGAATCGATCATCCACGTAACGGATATTATGAAATATTTTTGACGATTGTTATTTCCATGTGGGCCGTGTTTGTTTGGACGAGGAAAATGATGATGATGATGATTAAACGATTTGCTTTTAGCGTTTTCATTGGACCGAATCGCAATTCTTTAGCATAACCTTGTTTTTTTTTAAAATCATAATTGACATTTTTTCTCCGGCAAGGTCCATCCACTCCCAATGAGAAGAAACATCATTTTGGAAAATCAAAAACCATGCCATAGATTGAAACGAAGAAAAAACAACCATATTAAGATTTGATCTGATTTCTAATAGGGCCAAATTGACCATTTCAAAAAGTGAACAGGCCAGTTGTGGGTTTTTCTTCTAATGCTTTTTCAATAATGAGTGTATCCAGCTAAACTGTCTGTGTGCCAAAGTAGTTTGCATTGCGAACGACGATTTTTTTTCTGTCTTGTTGTTGCCTGACGTTGTTAATCTAGATTGCATATTGCTATGGATTTGTCGTTCACCTTGTTTTCACATAGAGATAGAGAGACACACACACTGTGTGACACACAACACATCCACCAAGTCAAAAGTACTTGAGTCTTGGGCATATTGGCTGCTGTTTTTATTTTATCGTTGATCTCTTCTCGTGATTTTGTTGCGTGAAAATGCACATTTTTATTTGCAACTGCAACATTTTTATCGAGGGTTCAAAGTACAATGCATATGCTGAAAACACAAAAAGGAGCATTCAATTTTGAAACAAAGCCACATACTTAATGACAACGGTAAATCACTCAATATGACTTGTGTGTAAATGCGTTTAATTACAATCGCATTTTGTAAATATTTTCAAAATTGTTTATTCCCGATTTCTCTATTCCATAATGTTTGGATTTCGGAGACATTCAATATCTCGGCGCGACTCAACACGACAATGACTTTTGCTTGCCCTTTCAATAATTAACTAAACAATTTTGGAAACGTATATGTGTTTGTTTTTTTCTTCTTTTGTTTGCTAATTTAAAATTGTCATTCATCCATTCCAATAGTCTAGCGCACCAAAATGCAACGAAAGTAAAATATAAAAACGAAACACAAAGAAAACAACAAGCCGATTTTGTCATTTTCATCGAAAAAGGCTCACTCAAATTCAAAGACTAACACTTCTGAGAAACTACAATGGTGAAATTATAGTAAAATGAACGATAATAATGACCCGGGATACACTTAAACATTTTTGGACGGACAAGCATTTTACAGCAGGTATAAAATATTTCAACTAGACGGCACATATATCTGGACGGCACATATATCTGGACGGCACATTAGATACATATAATGAGTAAGACTGAACGAAACAAAAATGACCCAAAAATTATTAGGAAAAAAAAATACACTAGTCAAAAAGAAATGCACTAGGTTTTGTGTCGGCGACTAAATTTTGATGAAAAGGTGATCAAAACTCAATTTCTTAAGGAAATAAATCATAAAAAAGGAAAATGCGGATTCAAAAGAAAAATCTTACCTTCTTTTATCTCTCGCGCTTACTTCAGCCCTCTATCAAAAATGAATAAAAATCCAAATGAAAAGCACAACTGCTTTTTTTATTTCGAATTTTCTCTCTCGAGGTCCGTTACACACTGTGAATTTCGTTTGAATACACCAAAATTAACACAATTTTTCGTTTTGTTATCCAATTTTATTTTATTTGATTCGACGAGAACGTTCAAAATTTTACGTCGGCCACCACATTTCCATATTGATATTTTGGAACCAAAAAAAAAAATGCTGCGATTTTCCAAGTTGTTTATTGTGTCGAAAAAGGGATCGAAGTCACTGCACTAAATTCAGGTTCAGTGTGTGTATGATTTAAAAAGTTAAAACGTCGTTATTTTCTGCTTCGTTTTTTTCTCTATCTGTCGTCAGTAGAAAAATCGAGAGCATATAATCTGTTTGAATTTAAACTAGTTAATTTTAAATCGAGATGTTTCAGTGTGAAATTTAACAATGCAAATAAAGATGTTTTCTTCCTTGAAAAAAAAACTCGCAGATACGATAGTCACAGTAAATTCAATTTAATGAATTGATCGAACTCAATGAAATAAATGTACATTTGTTTTATATATGGTGTGTGTTTGCGCGCGCACACAATTTTGCGCTTTCGTTTAACGACACACTCTTTCAGGCTACTGATCGTTTTGAATTTGAAGTAACACGACGATGAAGAAAAATAAACTACAAATCCGCACAATTGATCACGAAACACACAACAGCAGAATCGTATGGGTACGTTGTTAAGCGAATGAGGTGCACGAAACGACTGAACAACGACAGTGATCAGTCTGGCTTGGCTATGGCATGCTTCGAAACAATCTAGTGATAAATGTGTGTTGGTGCATAGCGTTCGTAAACAATTCGGATTATTCCAATCACTTTGGTATGCTCGTTGCATGGACACAGATACACCGAAACATAGATTTTAGCTACTGATATATATACTATGATGGAATCGGTCGATCGGTCGGTTGGTTGGTTGTCTGGCTGACTGGCCGGGTTGAACAAAAACACAGCGAAAATTGTGCTGTTGATCACTTCCAATGGAAGCACATGGGTATATTTCGTGTTTGTTTTCGTCTCTCTTTCGATGTTTCTTCTTCATCGTTGATTGCATTTCACTTGTTCGGCTTTATTCGGGTACCAAATTCGTTTTGGTTTTATTGCATCGACTTAGGGGCAATCGTCTCCATTGTTCGAGATGTTTCAAGAATTTCTAAGGAAATAGAATAGACGACAGCGTTTCAACTGTGTTTGATATTTTATGATTTTGTATGCTGGTGTATTTGTCAATAATAAATAAAAATGGTATTTGCGTAGATGCGAATATGTGAATATTCAACACACTTTTGGGCTACCTGCCCGAACAGCCTAGACAATTTCAACGAAAGATTGATTTCGGTTGCTTTTTCTGCTAGCGGAAGTTCATTCGTTGTCTTTCACAATATACGCAAACAATGTGAAAAGTGCTCATTTTCCTCGTTCTTCGTACAAGTCAAACGAATGAAAGGTCAAGGCGAACCTGAAGGAGATTTTCTTATCAATTTTTTTTTCGCTGCACCTTTGTTTTCTTTCGTTCAATCTGCATCGCACTCAAAACTCATATTCTTGCGGAAATGTCGTGACGTAGTCATTTGAACATACTTGATGAGCATTACTCATTATTCCGTTGTTACAGGAAAACGAAGTAAGCAAATGACCAATCAACAAAATGACTTAAAATATGGAGTGCGATACGGTATGCATATGTGCGTAGCAGAAGTGTAATCATAACAACATGATTTCTCCAGTCGTTGCAAATTCATTGCAAACAAATGATCGACTTCTTCTTTCTTTCTCGTCCAAACACACATTTTACCTGTGTGTATTACGCGATTTTCACTCCTAATGCTCACAACATCGAATAACCATTAGCATACGATGTTGTAAGAAACTCGATTCGTCGGCATACTGCATTCAATCACACATGTGTGAAAAAAAAATATGATAAATTGCCCATTGAACGACCATTTGCTCATTGGTTTATATTCGCTAACATAAATGAAAGTCACAATGTTTTTTCCCTGACTGCTTTGTTCGGCGACCATAGGCCGTTCATTGGGGCCTGTGAATCATGTGTGTGACTTGTTTTTTTCTGCGTCTTCTCTCATTCACCACATGAAACCATTATCGACGAATCTATTTGATTGAATTTTCCTATTAATAAGCACATTTTTGCAAACAAGCGTACACTTTCTATTTTGTGTGTTATCAGCTGCAGTTCGAAATGCTCTCGTCAAAACTGGAATTTTTGTATTTTACGTGATTGATTTGTATGTGTGTGTTTGCGTGCGAGGAATTTAAAACACCACTTCTTTTGATTGAGTTTAAATGTTAAAAATCGATTTATTTTATCATCATTACTACGATTAATTGAACAACATTTTTCGAGACAAAGAAGATGAACAGAACGAAAAGGTTGTTCTAGTTTATTCGAAAAAGCCAACTGGGATGATTTCACAGCTACGGCATGCAATGGCTTTAAGGTGTGCACTGATATCCGGCTTTCGTAAAGTCTAAAAATGAGAGAAATGTAAACAAGTTTTTCGGTTAGCATACACATTCAATTCATCAAATTCAACCGGTGTCATTAGTGCAACTCACTTCGATTATTCCTTCATCGATGCAATCAACAAATGTGACCAATTTCTTGGTACGATTACGGGTTGTGGTTGTGTTTCGTGCGTTGATGATGACATCGATATTTTCAGGCGTGAGCATAAAATCACAGTCATGAATGTGGATTTCCCGTAAATTGTCGGCAAACCGAAGAAATTCAACGATTGTTTCTTCTTTGAGTTGGCTGAATGAGATCCCAAACACTTGTAGCTGAGGCATTTCCAGCGCAATTCTAACAATGTTCTCGTGTTTTGGCTCAAAATATTCATCATCCGTGCATTGATCAAATTGTGCCTGTAATTGTAGGTCAATTAAACCATTTAACTTGGTCACATTGTTGACAATGCCCTCGAAATCGGATGCTTTAACATTTCGCAAAATTAAGCGCTTCAAATGAGTCAATGGTTGCAGGTCTAAAATGCTGTCCGCCGATAAGTCGGAATAATTTTGAAATAAAACCAATTGCTCTAAATTTGTTAAATGCATCGCAATGTCGTGAAGCTGCAACTCGCAATTGAATGCACCAATTTTCAATTTTCGTAATTGTGGATTATTTTGCATAAATTCGACCATTGTATCGTTGTCAATGTATTCGTTATCGCCCAATGAAAGTTCCTCTAAGCGCGTCCAGGTGCCTGTATTCTGTGTGAATGATGTATCCCATTGGATGTGTAAGCGTCGTAAATTCGGACATCGAGACTGTAACATTAAATCGTCATCATCCGGAACGGTACTTGAGATGTGCAGCTTGAGTTCTTCGATACGACGAAGCACCGGTTCAATTGCTTGCAGTGAAGTGTCAGAAATAAAGGGTGCCTCAATCGTTAGTCTGCGAATGTGATCACCAATTGAACGACCGAGAAACCCGTAGAATAGAAATATTTCTGATGTTTGGCAAATATTCAGTTCAACCAAATATTTAGCGATACAATCCAAAATATCACGCGCTTTTTCCTCGCACTCATTCGATCGGATGGTGCATTTAAATTTGGTTTGACGTGGAAAATGATTCGTTGTGACGAGCAAATTTAAGCGTTTACATACTTTCGACACAGAAACTACCGTTTCAACATCACAAAAATTGATGACCGAATCAAGGCAATCATCATTTAAGTCTAACAATTCCGTCATTTCGGCCAAAATTTATGCAGTTTTAAGCGTTTAACCATTAAAATTGTTTGAAATTTTTTTTCAAATATTCACTTTCGTATATAAATAAAGTCTTTTTTTCCAGTCAACAGCTGACATTAGGCACTTTGCGACCGTGTGAACCGTACCGAAAATGACATACGGAATGGTGCTCTCTCTTACACACAAACGCAATAAGCAAATGTCAAGCCGCAAATGACTCACAATGAACAACTCAAGTATTTTGCTTCAAGAGGACGCCACCGTAACTCGTGCTGTCTCATTCCATTGACGTACCTTTTTCTCGCTCTATCCACCTATCACGTTCAAGCATTTTGCATTTAGGAATCATTTCTGGCATTTGTGTCGGAGAGTTACAGCAGACTCGGCACATAGCCGAACGATTTTGTGAAAGTTTCTTTTATCAAGCTGCAATTCATTTCAAATCGATTAGTGTTTTTTTTCGATAGCAAAGTGCATCGAACATGTCGACAAATAATTATTTTGGATTTACACACGGTGGCACACAGTATGGGTGAGTAAAATTTTCAAGCAAATAGCCCGGCTCAAAAGTTCATATTTCAGAACGACGATGCGTCAGAGTGGTATGAGTGTTTCAATAATGGCGTCAATGCGATCGATATTTCGTCTGTGATGTCACAATTTCATTGAGAATTTTTTTTTTAGTTGGCATCCAAAAAGCGATTGTTATGATTAATGGATATTTAATGATTTTCGGAAATTCATTTTGGATTTTTTTCCACACACGATTAATGGGAATATTTTTTTAGGGCTGCTGCTACGGGACCAACCTATCCGGCTGCTCAACAATCCGGATATGCAGTGGCACCAACACCTACTGCCACATACAGTGCCCAGCGAACTGGCTACGACCAGGCTGCATATCAAGCCGCCGCCCAAGGAACATACGCTGGTATGTAATGAACATTCGATTTATTTTGCTAGAAACATTTGCATCTTTTTGATTCAATAGAAAAAAATAATAACATCGCACTAAAAACGAGTTCAGGTCACATTTTTTTCCTTTCTTTTGCGTATTATTATTTTGACTCGTCAATAATTCAGTGTGTGAACATGGGACGAACGTAGTTTGTTGATAAGTTTATCAGTTGGCAAGGTGTCAAACTTATCGTTCACATCGACAACGATTAAATATTTTAATACTTTAATACTTTTTTTTGCCACATAAACCACGCTAAACTATGACGATAGACTCCTGCACCGTGGCAATGATTTAATTGTTTTTGTTTTTAAATCAATCGTATTTTTTTTGTATAATTTTCAGGAGCTGGTACACCAAGTGTGACATATGACTATGGCTATGGTCGTACATACGATACAACCAAAACATATTATCAACAAACCCCATCGACGGCCACTTATCAGGCGGCCGCACAACCATATGCCGATGCAGCCACTCAGCCACCAACAAAAGTAAAAGTTTGTACACATTGCAATGGCGGAAAATTACATTTGATAACATTGAAATCGATTTCTTGCCGTCTGATTATTAGGTAACCGGATATCAAACAGCACAATACGTTGCCGGTCCAACTAGAAACAATGTTCCACAACAGCAACCAAAAGCCGTCGTTGCCCCAGCTTCGTACAATACAAACCAAACATACGCACCTCAGACCGCTTACCAACAAAATCCACAAGCTAACGCCCAACCAAAACGTAAGCAGACACTCGCTCTTATCGATTTAACACGAAACCCATGTTTCATTATTACGAATGGATTACAATGACATTTATTGATTTTTTTTTCGTCTGTATTTCATTTGTAGAACCTCCAGCAACAACAACGTCTAGCAACTATTCGAGCTACGATGCAGCGTTGTATTCAGCAGCCACTATGTATGCCGTACAACAATCAAAACCAAACAATGGGTAAGAATCAATCAAGAGCATTTGCATCTATTTATTTCATTGACGTATGTGTTCATAGTGTTACAATTGACTGTTTGTTTTTCTCTGTTTTGTAGACCGAATCCAGGTTGGCAAGGATTCAAAAAGGGTAACATGAAAGCACAACGTCCAAAGCCTCAGCCAAAACCCCAACAATTGCATTACTGTGAGGTGTGCAAAATTAGCTGTGCTGGTCCACAGACTTATCGTGAGCATTTGGAAGGTCAAAAGCATAAGAGACGTGAAGCCAGTTTGAAAATGGCCGCAACTGCCGTTCAGACTAGCCAAAATCGAGGCAACAACTTGCATTGTGAACTTTGCGGGTAAGAATCATTCGCCAAATATAATTTCTCCCATCGGTAATGTTCATTATCAGTTTGGAAAAATCTATTGATTGAAATTCGATTTTTTAGTGTTACATGCACTGGCAACGATGCGTATGCGGCCCATGTTCGTGGTTCAAAGCATCAAAAAGTGGTGAAATTACACCAAAAATTGGGCAAACCAATTCCAACCGTCGATCCAAACTTCAAGAAACCAGTCAAAGTCAATTTCGTGCCAGCTGGAGGCGAAGGTGCTGCACAGCCGGCCGATGCAAATGTTGCGGCCACTGCAACACCTGCAAATATTCCGACTCAAGCAGCAAACATTGCGGCAGATGCTCCGGTGACCAACGTTGCCAAAGTTGATTTAATGGAAGAAGACATTTCCTCTGCTCTCCCCGAAGACGATATCAAGCCAGTTGGTAATGAATACATCGAAGAAATCAAAGGTGATGACGGTAAAATGATAAAATTCAATTGCAAATTGTGCGAATGCGGATTCAACGATCCAAATGCTAAGGAAATGCACATGAAGGGTCGTCGTCATCGTTTGCAATACAAGCGCAAAGTGCAACCAGACTTGATTGTCGATTTGAAACCGACACCGCGTCAAAAGCGCATTGCTGAGGCAAAGGCACAACGGGCCGCAATGCAGGCTGATTTCTGGAATCGACAACGTAATTTGGGCGACGACAACAATGACGATGGAATGTATTGGGAGGAACGTAGGCGAGGATTTGACAATGAATTTGACAATATGCCATACAATATTCCATGGAATCGTGGTTTTCCACCAGGCGCTAGACCAGCACCTCCATTCATCCGGGCACCGATGCCATTTGGATTTGGCATGATGGGACCACCGGGCCGAGCACGACCAGAAAGCTTTGATGATCGTCATGTGGTCGCCAAACACGCCGAAATCTATCCAAAAGAAGAAGAATTACAATTGATTCAACGAATTGTGTCACACACCGAACGCGCACTCAAATTCGTTTCGGATGCTTTAACCGATAAGTCAGCCCAACAGCAACAAACTGTGACTAATGGTGTGAATAAAACTGAAACAGCTCCAGCCACCGTAGAGAATAAATCGGAAAATACTGAGGATAGTGCAACAAAATCGAATGAAAATGATGCAGCTAATAATGCAACCGCTGAAAAAGAAGCCAAGCCGAAAGAGGATGGCCGCGATAATCAATTGTTCTCATTTCAAAAGGAAACTGAAGGCAGTTCAGTTCGTTTGCTTAAAGGTGTTATGCGAGTTGGACTACTCGCTAAAGGTAAGCGTTTGGAACTATTAGAATTTATTTGTATGTGCACGAAATCACTATGGTGATTTGCTATCGTGACTTTTGACCTTTTTGTGTGAATGTCAGAATGATTTATGTAAAACACGCTTTTCGCTTCAGGTTTATTACTCCAAGGTGATAAGATTGTTCAATTGGTAGTATTATGCGCTGAAAAGCCAACCGTATCGCTATTGAAGCGTGTTGCCGCTGAGTTGCCGGTGCAATTGAAGCTAATTTCCGAAGAGCATCAATTTACGGTGACAATGGAACCGGAAGAAAGTGCCGTTTTGGTTTCCGACGATACAATAACGGTCAAAGTTTTCCTAACATCACCGTTACTTCGTGATCCTCAGCAAGGTAAGTCATTCACATCAATTACAAATGAAAAAAAAAGAAAATCATTTCAATCCAATGAATACAAAAATTCGAATAAAATAATAATTCACTCGGACGGAAGAAAAGCACTCGATTTCGAGTTACCAGTTTCGGTGGCTAGAACACTCAACCAAAATAGTACACAATCGACAATCAAAATGGATCAAATGGATGATTTGGAAATTCGTGAATTTTTTTTTATTTTTCCTTGTATATCAATTCATTTTTTCCGGTGTTGAACATCAGTTGATTTTGTCATTTGTAAGAGTGTTCTACTTGTGACCAAATAAACTTGAACTGAAATCACAGGAGCATCATTCTGCTCCTGTTGAACGAACATCCCGATAGTGAAGCAGATCTGAAATTGGTGTTTCGAAATCGTATCTACGTGCGCATGCGGAAGAAAAAACAATTCACAGAAAAAGAAAAGAAAATTGTGTAAATAACATACAATCGGCAAAAATAACCTATTTTATTTGGAATATCACTCGTAATTTCAAAGACAACACTTTCGGTCATCTAATTTCTTAAACAATTCAGACATTTTTTTTATTTTAACTTCGCGCCAACGGAATCGGAGCCGTTGAAAATTGAAATCGGGAACAAGTCTAAAAGTACGAGCCGGTGCATTTGAATAAAATAGGTCAAATCAATAATATCCGTTCTTACCAATTATTTGTTTTCAAATTCAAACACGAACAAAATATCAACAAACGGACGCGAATTCCGAATTAACCGTACTGAGAATGAAAGAGAAATAAAAAGAAATTTAATGAACAGAACAATAAATATTGGACATCGCTGAGACATGCATTTCAATCAAGCAAACGAATAAATTTATCATGGAACATGTGGCTGCAATAAAAGTGAAAGTGTTAATTTTTTTCTGTTATCTCACACGTTGACAAGCAAATGAACATCTCTTATGTGTCCAATACTTATTCCGCATAGTATTTCCGAAATGAAAGAAAAAAAAAGCATTTAATAGACATTTCATGAGTAATCGGATGCAGTGCATAAGACCCAACCAAATATATAAATGCGTTAATAGTAGTATGAAAATGCGCGATTTGTGATAATTTGTTCAAGAGCAGTGAAACAACGAATCTGTTGGAACGACCCGATCGAATTGGATTTTAAAATGCAAATCGTAATTCATTTCGAGCAAAGTTCAAAGTTGAAGCGACCGCACTAGTCGATGATGATGATGATGTCGATTGTGCAATTGTAAACACAGAGAACACACAGACTATAGAGATAGTGATACAATGTATGTGGAGAAATTTGTGTTTTACAATGTCTGTCTCTGTCACAATGTGTATTATTTATACTCGAAATGATTGCCGTTTTCAATTTGAAGTTCAACAAAAAATGCACCAATGCATTGAAACGGTGCTTTGGCTGTGCGAGTCGAGCCAAATCACACGATTTCGATGTGTTTTTGCGATTTTATCCAGTCAACAATAGAATTTTTAGTGGTTTGTTGATGACGTATTTTGTATAATAAAATTCAGTGCTTCGAACTTAGCTAGGCAAAACACGCGCTCAGCTAAAAAAAAAAATTTAAAACGAAGAAAATAAATTTTTTCCACAAACAAAAATCAAATCGAAACGAAATGAAAAGAAAGAAAAACACACAAAGAAAACCGAAAAAAAAGAACTGCAACGTAACGGAATTGCGGAAGTGAAGGGAAATAAAATGGAATACAGGATTTTTGACCATCAAAGCAATTAGCACTTTGAACGGATGGAGTGGCTCTTTCGAAGATTTTAGAATGACACTAAAATCGGAAAAAAGATTGAAATTCCTCACCGAAACGAGACCCCCAAAAAAAACAAGATCGAAAAAAATAAAACTCTGCTGACACAATGTATTGATAAATCCTCCATCTATCGAAAGATGCCAGCGAATCTGTCAATCGAAATCATCTGATTAGAGGTGCAAACTCTTTTCGAGTTGATGCGAGCTGTTCGGTCACCAAATGCCATCAAACGAGTGACTTAACGAAAAATAAAAAAAAAATAAATATCAATGAATGAACTCAAACTTGAGTTGAGTTCTGCCATTCACATTTGGATGATTTGTTTTCTGCGACCCAAACTAAATTTGTTGGAGTATTTATCAAAAAATGTCAATAGCATGAATTTCGTTTTTTTTTTTGTTAATGGTCAAACACCCTGTTACTCGCCTTGCACTTTAGATTCAAATATTGCTGCAACAGCAACGGAACAAACGGTTCCGAATCCCGATGATCTACTGCCACGCGATCCATGTCTTCAAGCTCTTGCTGCATTGAGGCACGCGAAATGGTTCCAGGTTTGTTTTTTGAAATTGTTGTCACCAGAAAAAAAAAGAGTTCAATTTAAAGCCAAAAAAATAAAACATGAAGAGAAAGAAAGTGAAAAGATCAAGTTACGTTCAGTCAAACAGTTTGAGGAGGTCTCCTTCTCTTTCTGTTGAGAACGACCAAGGAAAGAAGAAGAGAAAAAGAGAAGGAAGAACACATTTTTTTCGTTTTCATTGTTGTTCAATTTGTTTATTTTTCCTTTACGAATCTAAGCAAACATTAATGAAATGCAATGAGTTTAGATTATTTTATTATGGACTGCAATATAATCATAGAATTGAAACCTAGCTAAAGAGATCAAGCACCTAATTTTTTTATCATAAATATTGAAAATGAAAACTAATTTTAAAACATTGATAATTTGTTTGTTTTTTCGTAGAAACGTTGCTTTTTCCATAAATTTGAATAAGTTGTTTCGCTGTTTGGCACGCCCTCGTGGTACGCGTGAATTCTATTTTTATCAATTGATTGTAATTAATCGTAACGATGAACGACGGAGGTGTGCGCTGAAAAAAACATGCGAAAGAACTAGTTCAAGTTTTCTATTTGTTACGTCACGGTTTAATTGAATGGAAATTAACATAAATCAATTTTATTTTTACTTTTCGTGCAAAAATTGTTGCATTTTGTGTGTTTGACTTCGTTCCGCACCAAATTCAATGATATTTTAGGCTAGAGCAACTGGTTTACAATCATGTGTCATGATCATTCGTGTATTGCGAGACTTGTGTCAACGCATTCCCACATGGACACCACTGAGCCAATGGGTGAGACCTCCTTAAGTGAAATATCGATGAACAATGATTTTTAAATTCGATTCCTTTGCTATTACAGGCCTTGGAATTACTGACGGAAAAGATAATCGCATCGGCTGGCATGCCATTGAGTCCAGGCGATTGTATGCGTCGAGTGATGGAAGCACTGTCGACGGGATTACTCATCAATGGGCCTGGTTTACTTGATCCCTGTGAAAAGGAGCCACACGATGCTTTGGTCGGCTTATCAAAACAACAACGAGAAGATTTGACTGTATCGGCACAGAACTTCTTGCGAATGATTGCATTCCGTCAAGTTTACAAGGTTTGATTCGTTTTATTCATTCTAGTTTCAGAATAGTCCACTTTTTTTCAACCGGCAATAACACTGGTTTTCTTTCACAATCTCCAGGTATTGGGAATAGAGCTGTTGCCTCCGCAGAAATTCGCTGTTCGTCAATGGCGTTTTGGCCGCAAGCGCAGACGTTCTGGAACGGAAGGAGCTGATTCTGAAGGTCTTTTTTATTTCTAATACTCAATATCTGATGAATTTTAATGTGAAATTCCAAAACTAAACACTTCAATTGAATTTTTTTCACAGGCGATTCAAAAATCGTAAAAAAAGACGCTGAGAACACCAGTATGGAAACGGCACCAACTGAGCCATCGGCCACTGCAACACCTGCTCCGGCCGAAGCTGGTGCAAATGGTAACTAAATCCGGATCGATTATGTTTTCCACTCAGCACAACAATGTTTTTGCATCATTCGCACACTTCTTCTTTAGAAAACTGATGTGTTTCCAAAACAAACCAACAAAAAAAAATGTACGCGTGTTTATTATTATTTACATTTTACACCACGATCCACTGATCATTTTGATCATTCTCAATGAAAACTGAATGAAACACAAAAAAAAACTTATATTACATACTACGATTTCATTTTACCAATTTTACTAGTTTAACCTTGAATGGAATAATATTGAACGGTTTGAATTGTCTTTAGAATATTTCAAACAAGATAGATAGATTACTACGTCATGAAGACAGGAATTGATATGTTACGAATTGCGTTCGTAATAGGGCCAACACGAAACATCAGGTACACACAACAGATATCCACGACGGCATAATGAAATGTATGTTGTGTTCGTCATTCATTAACAAATTTCCCAGAAATAATTTCTTTTTTTTTCGTTTTTCCTTTTCGTTTATTTGTAAGAAAATAACCTAACGTATTGATTTAGAATTAAATAAAAGTCAACAAAATGAAAAACATAAAGTTACACAAAACAATTAGCAATGTCATATTGCAGGTACAGAGAGTTTAGGGGTATTCAATAAACTCCTATAAAACGTTTCAGTATGGAACAATGACAATGTTTTTTTTTATTTCATCGAGCATGAGTAAAATGAGAGTAATGAAATAGTTTCAGAAATTCAATGGCAATTATGAAAGAGGCATACACTTTTTAGGCAACCAACTATTGCATCCGTAGACGATTCCATCGCATGTGATGAATCCAAATAAATGTGAAAGAAATTAAATCTTCAAAATAAATTAAAATAAAACTCAACACATTTTTTCAGTAGAATAAAAAGCAAAATAATTAGTATTCATACCAATGAAAAAAAAAACAACAACAACAACAACAACTAAACACAACAAATTATTTTATTCCTATATGATTATAAAATGTACTGAGGCAAAATTAAATTGAAGATTTTGCCATAAATTTCGCTACTGGTTTTTTTTTCGGGTGATGTCATTAATCATTTATTAACTGTCAGGAGATATTTCAACGAAAATGTAAGTATCGTTTCATCTAGTATCATCAGACAAGCAACTGTCTCAATCTCGAGCGATTGATATGATAAACGCCCGTCAAGTGATCTGTGTATGCGTGACATACTGGATATGAGTAGGTTGTAGTACAGTACAGTACAGACACTCTCTATCTATGTATATTAACGTGTTTATTAATGATATTTATTATTTCATCATAATGAAACCGTGATAGTCCGCTTTCAGACATCAGTACTTGCAGTGAAGTCGTACAGGCAATGGCACACAATCATTTATTTCATTTGTTATTAATAGAAAAATCCATATAATTTTTGTGAAAGCGAATTTTTTCTGGAATTTCAAATATTTGACGCATTTCAAATACATATCGTCGTTGAATGTGAAGGTATTTTCCGTGCACCTACGTGTTAGAAATCAAAAACGCACCAAAATTATCCGTTATACATTTTAACGCTTCAGCAAAAAAAAATCTCTGATTAGTTTGATTTTAGTGGAGAATTCGTTTTGGTGATTTTGACATTTCAGGTGACATTAAGAACACACATAAAACGTCAATAAATAGCATTACTCCAAAACAGAAGCAAAAAACCGTGATTAGAATGCGTCGGTGATATTTCGCCATGTTTAATGTTCTAAATTATTTCAATTGATTCGTTTGATGTTTGGAGTGTGGATGCAGTAAATTTGATGGTTACTTCATTGGTGCAGCTCTTACAATTACTAAAAATAGTTTGTTCCCCCTCAGTTTTATTTCACTTTTTTTTTCTTGCGTCGAAATCTCTTGTATCTGAGGCAAAACAGTATTTTCATACTCAGTTTTGATCTTGTCATCAATCGGTAACGTACCTTTTTTATTGCTCCGGTACAAGATAACCTTTTTTATGTGAATTTGATTAAGTTACAAAACAACAAACAAAGTGTGCTCACTATGAAGGGAAAAAACAAAGCATAAACGGCGATTCAAGCAAAATTTTAATAACAAGGAAAAAGTAAATTTCAAGTGTTTGATTTATTATTGACCGAATGGACACTCTTTGTGTGTGTTTGTTGTCGGTGTTACTGTTGGTTTGGGAATTTACTTCAATTTATCACTTCATTCAATTTTTTCGATTTAATTGACACATTCAAAAATCATTTTCCAATGTGGTGATAATTTTTGATGGAATCTTTGTTTTCTTTCAGCAGCAGCGTCAGTTGTAATGAAAATTCAACTCAAATTCGATATTAATTGGTTGGTGTTGTGATGTGAGACAAAAAATAGTGTGATATTGGATTTCAAATACAATCGCAACGATAATTTTTTGATGTGTTTAATTTACCATGCTTTCTTTGGAAATAAGAACGAGAAACACAATTAAAACTAGCTTATCGCAGAATACATGGTGAATTTGATTATTATCTGTTGCTCACATTTCTGTTAAACAATTTGAATTCGTGTGAGAACCTGTGCTTATCTCGCTGCAGTCGATTTATTATTGTGATTCGTGCAAACGTTACAGTTGTTTATACACATACTCAGTAGTTTTAAAACGGTGTGTTTGTCGGTGCAATTAGTTTGAAGCGGAAGTTTTTTGTATGAGCGTGAAAAATTCTGCGAAGAATAAAAATGAGGGATCTCAACACAGACGCTGGACGTCGTGTGAATGGAAATCGACCAACTACTGTTTTACCGCATTCAGAATATGAAGTTTATCCCAATTTGGGCGATGACTACGAACTCCAGCGAAGGCGTAGTACTTCGAACGAATCGGCACAGAGGAATAAGAATGTGGCCTGCGAACGTTTTAAAATGAATCTCATCTACTTTCTTATCATTACGATTGTCGCACTTTTTGGAATTCTAGCCTATACATTGGTAATAGTATTCGAAGAGAATTCTGACGTACTTGAACCGGTCATTGATGACGTACCCGAAATTAATTTGCCAATCGAACAACGAACATGGTACGACGATGCCATTGATGAACTTCGAGACTCGATGAAATTCAAGCAAAACAAGCACAAAGCCAAAAATATCATTCTTTTCATGGGTGACGGTATGGGATTAAGTACAGTGACTGCATCACGCATATATAAATATGGTGAAGAAGGACGACTGAGCTGGGAATCATTCCCGAATTTTGGTTTGCTTAAAGTTAATATTTATCTTGTGCATTGGGCGCAACGCATATTGTGAGCGATACATTTGCTAAGCAATCATTCGTTTGTTTCAGTAGACCTATTGTGTGGATAAGCAAGTGTGTGACTCTGCATCGACGGCAACAGCATTATTCTGTGGTATGTTCTCTCGTTTTGACAATCGACGTCATTCACATTTCATATCGTTGTTATTGTTTAAAATAACCTTCAATGATTTATTTATTGCTCGAATTTTGAATAGGCATCAAATCGAATTATGAGACAAGTGGTGTTGATAGCTCCGTCAAATTGGGTGATTATTATGTTTTTTTTTTCTTTCATTTTTTTTCTTTTTAATTTTTTTTCCATTATTTTCATTAGGTGATTGTCCTGCGTCATTAGATAAATCGAAACATGTCGATTCCATTCTGAAATGGGCACAAGATGCTCAAATGGCCACTGGTTTCGTGACAACAACACGGTACATTCAATGGAAATGAGATAAACGATGCGAATTTGCAGAAAATGTAAACATTTTGCCTTGAATCTCTTGTAGGGTTGTTCATGCGACTCCGTCTGCACTTTACTCGCACGTAGCCAACCGCCGTTGGGAATGTGAAGCGAAAATGGAACCAGGCGATCACGAACAAGGTTGCAAAGATATTGCAAGGCAATTGATCGAGGATGACCCGGGCCGTAAGATAAATGTGATAATGGGAGGCGGCCGACAATGCCTCGTTTCAAATGTAACGGATACAAAAGAAGATCCAGTCGATCGATGGGCATGCTATTCAACAGATGGCCGAAATTTAACTCGCGATTGGATACTCGATAAAGAAAAACGCAAACTAAGCCATGCTGTTGTCTCAAACAATGAACAACTTGAGAATCTCGATCATAAAACTGCCGACTATGTTTTGGGTATGTCACAAAAACTACTTTTTATTAGTTGTCAAATGTGCAAGTAACGATTTGATTACATAAATTCAAGTGTCGGTTGTTATCTATTTTTATTGACTGTTTTTTTTTTTGTCGATGTCACTTTTGTTTCATTTTTTCTCGAATTTCCTGCAGGTATTTTTGCGAATGGTCACTTAAAGTATGATCATGAACGTGGTACGGGCCCAAAGGGAATGCCGTCTTTGACGAATATGACGGAAAAAGCACTAAAGGTGTTGAAACGAAACAAAAATGGATTTGTATTGGTTGTTGAAGGTGGTATGATTGACCAAGCCCATCATAGAGGATTTGCGCGTCGTGCCTTGTCCGAAGTGGCTGCCATGGATGAAACGGTTAAGCGCACCCTTGAAATTATGCAGTAAGAATGTTTGTTTTTTTTTTACAGCCTGAATTGAAACTAAACAATAATTTTCTTTCAAAATTTTGCTTTTTTCAATGACAAAAAGCTCCGAACGAGATGAAACACTCATCATTGTTACCGCCGATCACTCCCACTCGTTGACTATCAACGGGTATCCACCGCGTGGTAATAACATTTTAGGCATCGCTCGTAATTCCAAAATTGATGGAATTCCGTACACCACTCTCCTGTACACCACTGGCGGTCCAAATGGTTTCCAGGTGGATTTGGATAGCGAAGGCAAAGTTCAGCGTCGAAATCCTTCGAACGAAGACACAAGTGGCTATACTTACATTCAACAAGCGGCCATTAAAACCGATGAAAATGCACACGCCGGTTCAGATGTAACGATCCACGCTACGGGGCCAATGGCTCATTTGGTTCAACGTGTTCATGAACAAAGTTATGTTGCACATTTAATATCGTATGCAGCTCGGATAGGGCGATTCCGGGGCTTATAACAAAATGAGCCATACATAATAGAACTACACATGTTTATTTCAGTCGAGATTATTTCATTTTGGTGTATTTTGAAATGGAGGGGATAGATTTAAGTTTGGAACTTGAAGTAGCCATTGTGACCAAACTTCCTGTGCATCTTAATTTTAACAATCCATCCTGTTGATGAGGAAAAATGCCAATCGTTCAATTTTTTGTTTGCTTAAAATGATTATGTACAATGTTCGACTTACACTAAGTTAGTCAGGCCCTTTCAGGTGGGTATTTGCATTTGAAATTGTAATATTGTTGTCATGCAATAAAAACTTATCATCGATTTTCAAAAACGTTACCTGTCTTTTATTGCTTCCAATTTATCCAGTGTTGACATATTCTTCTCCTTTTCTCGCAATCTGGCGCAGTTTTTCTCGCAAATCTCATCGATTTCCGTTCTGAATCCAGGTTTATGTACGATATTCTGCACCAAAGAAAAATAGTAAAAATGCGGTTATGTGAAATGAATATTTGGGAAGGAATTCCATTTAGAGAATGATACGTTGTAACTTTTCATTGACAATGCACTGTCGACAGCTGAAAATGCGTTCACCATGCCCGATTTTATTCGCTCCCATCCCGATGATGGTTTTTCAGTCTTTGGAACAAAGTCCATTGAACCTATTTGAAAATTATTTTTGAAAAGGTTTAAAGTCAAGTTGGATTCTTTATTTAGTGCACCCATTTTCTGATAAATTGTATTTAAACAACATTGTAGATAATAATTATCACTTTTTTTTTCTTCAAACTTTGAATTGGCAATTCGCAAAAATTTGAGAATATAGATAATTTTCCCAAAATGGTGACACTCATTCAATCAATGTTAATAAATTGTTATCATTACGTACCAACACTTGCATACAAATTGGAGTGAGATTGAGGTTGAGAGTCACTAACTCGTGTGACTCGTCCACTGATTAGTAATATCTGAAGAAAAAAAAACGAAAATGAATAAATTTAGAGATTTCTCATTTTTATGTTTGATGTAATTGCTTTTTTTGTAGATTTATTTGTGAGAAATGAAAAAAATTCATGCTGAAAAAAGTAGCATCGAGTTTGCTGCAAAACGACATAAAAAAGGTAAAAGGAAAATTCTCAAAAAATGTTTCTGGTAGTGTTTTTTTCTTCACCCGCTGTAATCCAAATATTCCAAATTTGCCAGCATTATATTCGTTATCCGTTTGTACCACATCGTATCAGGAAAGTTCACATGAATATGGGGCCCATGGGCTATACATTGCAAACAACATCAATTTTTATTAACTAATCCTAGTCTAAAGATTGTATATTTGAAAATCACTGTTTATTTGGTCGCAGCCGACGATCGACTGGTTTCAATTGAAACTTATATGAGTGTTATTAGTTCAAATTCTGAATGTCTTATCGAAGGAGCGCTTCTCCGAACATTGACATGATTCTGATTACTTGTAAATAATTAAAAAAAAATACCCGTTTTCCTATGAATAATTCATATCGACCATTCCACACGAAATGGACCAAGAATTGGATCGACCCTCTCCGAATTGGCTGAAAATTTGCATGGAGTCTTGATTTCGGTAGAAAATGAGAAAACCAAAATCTTAGGCCTGTAAGTGGCCCACATTCCTGAGTTCACCCAGTGTAAATTTTTCGAAAAATTGAAAAAATCGAAAAAAAGGGTTTGCGCCAACTGAAAACTAACTAAGAAGTAGTTGACACATTGCCAAACCATTGGTACCGTTGGAAAGGTAATTGATGGGGCTACAAAACTTGCGAAGATTGGGGCCAAAATGGAACAAAAATTGGTTTATTTTGATTTGTTTCGCTGAAACATAAAAGCCGTTGACGATGGTAACTTGAAGAAGGTATTTTTGAAGTGAAAAATTTGATTTTCTGCATAAAATATTGCTAGTTGAAAACATAAGCTGGAATATAGGCATTTTTCGACCTTTTAGGCTCATCAAACAGGATTGCGATAAGTCAAAATCGGTTCCTCGGTCAAAATTACTTGGAAATAGACTCATACCAGGCCACCATAGGTGAGTTTTCTATGCCATAAGTGTGATTTTGTAAGCCAATTTTGACCATTCGTTTGTTCTATGAAGAAATGTCGATTTCAGACCAATTTTATAGGTAAACCGATATTCAAATGGTCATTTCTTTATGTATTTTGACGAAAAAATAGCAGTTTTGTCAGTCAAAAACATCGTCACAGGCCATTTTCGACCATTTTTTCCACAAAAACGCTGAAAAATTAGATATGATCTACTTTCCGAGGCCAAATACAAAAAATTGAATGACCTATACACGAAATTTTATTTTTCCATCTGAAGCGGCGCGACATAAGCGCAGAAAAAATGCAAAAAAAACATACCAAAAATCGACCACCCTTTTGAGATATTTCACTTTTTATACTTTGGACCCATTTTTGGAGGCCCCAATGGGGTCAAAGTGGGTAGGTGACTTCGCAATTTTTGTAGCCCCATCAATTACCTTTCCAACGGTACCAATGGTTTGGCAATGTGTCAACTACTTCTTAGTTAGTTTTCAGTTGGCGCAAACCCTTTTTTTCGATTTTTTCAATTTTTCGAAAAATTTACACTGGGTGAACTCAGGAATGTGGGCCACTTACAGGCCTAAGATTTTGGTTTTCTCATTTTCTACCGAAATCAAGACTCCATGCAAATTTTCAGCCAATTCGGAGAGGGTCGATCCAATTCTTGGTCCATTTCGTGTGGAATGGTCGATATGGGATTGTTATGTATGTGAATAACAAAAACAAGATGAGCTGTAATATACATGTTTTTCATTCATTTTTTTCTGAATCTGATATACAAGTTTTTGTTGCAATCTGCTGTTTTTTTTTTCGTTGAAGACAGAATCAAAGCACAGGAACGGGGCTTTACCGGATTCTTATAGCACATATCTCTACACTTAACTGTTCAATTTGAATCGGTTCTGTGTACGCTTCAGTCAGTGCGTAATTCCCTCAAAATAAGTAAATAATTTTTCAATCGCCTCGAGTGTAATCAGAGAGGCAAATAAGAATAAAAAAAAATTGGCCAAACGGAATATTTTATTCAATCATATTGTTTGAAATATAGTGTAAATCGTTCTAATCTACTCAAATAATAGAATCCATTTAAATGCATTCGAACTGAATCACTCGCCAATTTTATCGCGTGCAATGGATTCTTCGTCTTGCGGGCGCTTCGCATAAATTTTTTTCGATACATAAAATCTATCCATGATATCAATAAGTATATTCACAAGTAGTGCATCACGTTTGACATTCCGATTGTGGGTTCCAGACATAGGATGTTCAATTAGATCTTCATTATTCTCGGGTAGAAGATCGTCAGCAAAATCATCGGCTGAATTCGTTATATGCAAAAACATCGGCTATAAAGTAACAATACACACTCTTATCAATAGAAATTCTTAGTGCGATTCTTTTGGTTATCGCGATTTTTTTTTCTGATTTTAATTTTGTGATGAGAATTCATGTGACATACTCTGATCTAAAAAAAAAAAAAATACTCTCACTTTGACAAATCTTGTATTTTCTTAAAATTTTAAACGCTTTTCTAAAATTCAAAAATTCCACAGCACTTACAATAAACAGAAATAAGCTGGACAATAAAATGTTTCCGAAAAAAATATGCATTTTTTTAGGACAGTTGTGAGTGCGGCCGGTCAGTGAAACGAAATGTAAATACGGGAACAGTATTTCGTACATCAAGTTTTATATAGCTACCATTATTCAGCATAAAATAATGCCAATGACCCATATAGGCGAAGGCTTAGATGCGAATCAATTTGGATTTTCCAAGGGAATGGTTGACACTTTAGCACAAGTTCAAATGAAAAACAATGCAAAATGCAACATCATGCATCATACAATTATTTATTGTGTATATTTATTTAAGACAAATGCCAAAACATCAAATACTAATGAGCTATGAACGTTTGTGCGATGCAAAAATGTGTTCGTAAACTATGAACTGCGGTGGTATTGTTGTTTGTGCCCTCACTCAGCACAAAGTCACAAAAATGGACGCATGTTTAGAACAGACGATGCCACAGAATTTACGCCATGTATAAACACTGTTCAATGTGATGCATTGGTCAAGCTGAAATGGACCAAGTACATGTTAAGCATAGAATCTCTTCGTCTCTGGCATCTCAAATCAATTACCATACTTAATCCAACTGTTTTTGTATATACTAGAAAATTTTAAATTCAATAGAACGTAATCATAAGCGGTTTTCATATTGCCCACTATAGCACCACAAATTGGATCGTAAATATCCTATTATTTTAGAAACATTAAAAAAATATCAAGAAAAGTAATAATATTGATTAGCAAATTTCAATCGTTCATACTTTAAGAAATATTCCATCGAATGTGTCGAATTCAATTGATTTCAGTGTTGTCACATGAAGCGCATCTTTATCGCCAAGGAAACATCGACCAAGGGAGAGCTGTAAGCGAATTCGGGAAAAAAACAACAGTTTCACCATTTTTCGTCAACCAATTCAGCCGATTCTCTGACAACACTGTTCAAACGACCCAATTGAAAACTCATTTGAGTATAGCAAAAGATAACACTGAAAATGGTTAATCTCAGCTTCACCATTGTCACACAATTCTGAATGGAATGACTATGCAGTGTTTTTCAACGGATCTCTTTATTCAGACACAATCAATACGCAACTAATCTTAATGCAAAACTCACTTCGAAGACGATTGTCCATTTTTTCGTATGTGTTATCAATGTCGGGGCGCCATTTCAGCAAATTCACTTCGACTCTTCATCTTCTTTTCCTTCTATAAATACAGTTTACGCTCGACAGAATACTAACTATGTTCACCAACTTGAATTTATGTGCAAAACGCGCTAAAAATAATCTCAAACGGTATTTTTTTCTCTGTGAAAGCGATCGCTGTTTTGCATTTCGTGTACCGGCTCATAACTTACATTGAGTTCCTCGTAAATCATTCCGTCGAAACAAAGTTTCACATTGTGAATGCAATTTTATACAGAGAGAGTGTAAAAGTGTGTGATATAGATTACAGCAAAGTGTTAATCGGTTTCCTGGGCTTTGCTTGGGTTTATTCGCATCATTAGTCACTTAATTGAAACGCTAGCTAAACTAATGCAAATGCAGCAAAATGTAAAGAAAAAACTCTTAATTTTAGCTCAATCAATTTAAAAAGTTTATTTTGCATAGTGACGATAAATACTTATGGAATAGAAATCTTTTGGATTGCTACAGTCAACGGTTACAATGATATGGACAACATCTCAGATTAATACACAACTGTCTCTTCCAATTGGCTAAGAATTTTTGGCGCTATTTTGTATAACGACTTCCTTTAAACTGCGAACGCTTCGCATCAGCCTTCGATGATGTGTAAAGTGTGTCCAAAATATCCCTGATTAAACTGAAAATTGGCCGAGCCTCACGTTTCGAATTCTTGTTGGCTGACTTCATTTCCATCGATGAAAAATGGCTGGCGTCTTCGTTGTTGGCCGGAAGAATGTCATCAATGAACGAATCACGGTCAGAGTAAGCATAAACCATCATCGGCTGTGAAGAAAAGAAAAAAATTGTGAAAATATTAGGAGAGGAAACGTTTTTGGGTGATTTTTCTTTACTAATTTATTAAAATGATTTAAAACTTTTAAAAAACTAGAATGAATGAATCAGAAATTCTTTGCTCTTCCACAAAAAAGGAACTATTTTCACCGAATCACAAGCAATTCATCACTCTTTGTGCTAACAACTTTTTCAGTGATAAAGCTACCAGATACAATCTTTAGGTGCTATGTTCTTCTTATTTACTGCACTAGTTTTTACTTCTATGTTTTCTTCACAGTGTATTTGAAGTGAAAAAAAAACTGTTTTGTGAATGGAAAAATCTCCATTCGATGCACATTAAACTTAAATTTACTTTTTGAACAAACTCTTCTACGACTGAAACAAATGGAAAAACTTCAACACTGATTTACTGAACTTACTAGCAAAATTAATAAGCCGAACACGAACACTTTCCCGGAGATGATATGCATTTTGAAGAGTTAGCGATGCAACCAGCAATTGTGTGTCTCTATTGTTCAAATCGAAATTCGGGCACTATGTTTGAGTGCATGGAGTTTTATATAGTGTGACTGGAGTGGCCCATATTTATAAAGCATGCTTTAGCATAGTTGCAAAAAGAAATGTGAAGCCGGTGAAAAAATATAACAAAACTGCAAGGTCCCCGCAACAAGGTGCAATGCTTTGTGTTTACTAATAAGAAACCCCAAACAACTTTTGTATGGGAAATCAAATAAATACAAATTGTTTGTGAATCAAGTGAATACTTTTTTCTTTTATTCCGAATAATAATTGCTTATCAGTTAATTTTTTTTTCAGCAGTCATCACTGACCATTCGTCAAATATGTGAGCAGTGTAGCGACCGTTGAACTCATCCAAACGCATCAAAAGTAATGAGGTCAATCATGATGAATGGCAAATATTGTCACATTATTGTTAATCGAATGTAATTTTACGGTAGACACTTGAATTGATTTCTGTATGGAAATGTCAATATCATGTTGAAATGCTGTCCACATTAAATCTACACTGTAGATTCGACAGTATATTGTTTGATTTCGAACCAATTGGTTGAGTTCCATAGAATGATGGTACATGTATTAAGGGAATATTTCTTGAAAAAGTCTATAAGAATGAAATGCAAGTTTTTTAAACGAAAGCGTCAATTTAAAGTAAAACAAATTACTTATATAAAGGCGGAAACACGTAAATCTTGCTTGATAGAGTCATTTTATTCATTTGCTGATGTTACGAAAATAAACGGTCTATATTATTTGCGAAAAAATACAAATTCCAACAACTGATAAATGTTTTCATTTCTGAAAAGACTTTCAGTTTAAAAATATTTCGTTTTAATTTACGACTAAACAATAAACATTCTAATTCTACTGATAGTTTTACGAAGAAATCAGAATATTAACGATGGTTTATAGTTGTAGGTGCTTTTGGATTCTGATTCCTTTGCTTCTGCTTGGCCTGGCTGGCATATTGATTCATTTACCCGCAGGCAACTTTTTTCAAAATCCAAAATTATTTCACACGCTGCACCGATGCCACTTCTATCAATACCCTTTCCAACGATTACGGTTTGTCCATTCGATTCAATATCACCGATGAACGTCCGACGCTTCCTAAATGAATCGTAAATTTTTAATCTGTGTGGCGTTTCAGTTATGTTTATTAGATTTTTAAATAAATGTCCATTGTATTCGCTAGGATAATTCCAAATGATATGCCAAAGATCGTATTGAAAGTGCTTTTCGAATTTCAACGGATTTACGCTGGGTTTAATGAATGGTGATGTGAAAGATGTTGTCATCGCCGATCGATTTTTAACAGCAAACAATTTAACAGTGTTGACGTTAATGGCTAAGATTGGAATGGTGAACTATTTCTAAAAAAAAAATATTCAAACCAATTAAAAAAGGTGCCTTTTCAATTGGGAATGCAACGATTACATCAAAAGGTATACTTTCGACACGCAAACGTATGTATGTATGCCAAGCAATTGTACCGCATGGAGTGTAATATCAACCATCCGTGGAATATGTTGTACATTCGATTTTCACCCAGATGATGTATCCAAATCATCATTTTCAAACGAATGGGGAAAACGCAGTGGTGTTAGTATCATGATTTCTGGTGATGCCGCAACTTTATCGGGTTTTAATATATTTATTCATCATTCTACTGAACGCATAACAAAGGCGACACCCATTTCCTCACTCATTCCGGGATATGAACACTTTGTCCGAATTTATCGATGATCCAATAAGCCAGATGAACACTTTTTGAGCTTGCCATGCTTTTACTACCACATGACAAAGACCTAACACTGTTTCGAAAATCCAGATGTCGTCTTTTAGAGCCATTCATCAAGAGTGTGGATATGGATGCCAACCATATTTTATGCCAATACTGGAACATAGCTATACAACGATAAAAAGTTGTACAGCACATGACATCGATTGTTTCAAATATGATTCAGGTAACAAAATAGCTTCATAGAAATTCTCTTTTGTCAAAATCGGTAGGAAAAAATTCTTTTTTTCCGAATTTATTGTAGCTATTTGGAATGAGCTATCTTCTGACTGCATGCCCTCTCGCTTTGATGTAATATTTAAAGTCGAAAGCTCTGCAGCTATTTTACGAAATAGCACAACAATCATGGCATTATAGTATATCATTTGATTATTTTAAATGTCAATAACAAGTCAACGTTTTACTTGTATTTTCAGCAAAAATTTTACTCAAATCAATCGACCATATGGTATTCATATCTTCTATGGAGACCATAAAGTAAAAGTGTTTGAAAAGATACTGGTCGTTACGTGGGTGGATTTGATTGGTAAAAAAATGCTTTGATTTCGACATTTTTACTAAATTCGATTAAGTAAGCAAATCTTGGTGGCATTCTGAATTTAACATTAGGAATAAGTGTTATATCAATTGTCGAAATTTTCTATTATTTTGCATCATCGTGCAAAGTCTTCGGAAGAGAGGTAAAACTCGTTGGAATTTTAGATTGCATTAAAAAGGATTCAAATGTTAAAATCTAAAAAATAGAATAAATAGTTCGAACAAATTCGTGTCAATTTAAATTGGCTCTCTCTCACATCTCGTAAATCGACTACAGCGCCAGTGTTTCACTTCTGAATCTGTTGTGACAGATGGAGGCAAATGTCAAAATAAAGCCAAATGATATATAATATTGTAGTCTAAAACACGGAACGAGTAAAAATTGATTATTCTTCTTGAAATTTTACAATTTAGCGAGCGTTGTGTTGTCGTAAACCCAGTTAAAATGGACGATTCACAAACGGCATCACAGCGGCTGACGAATGATGATTTTCGTAAGTTGCTTATGACGCCACGAACATCGGGATCATCGTCAGGCCATGCACCCGGATCGATTCGAGAGGCGATGGCCAAGTCATCGTAAGTTATTTCATTACCAATTCTCAAACGAAAATGATGCATCTATTCCCAATTACAGAGGCGGAGTGACAAAATTGGATATGCCGCCACCATCCGAAAGGCATGAGGCTCGTCGAAAGAAAAAAAATTTCTATGCTCAATTGAAAAAGCAAGAGGATACAAAACTCCAAGAATTGGCTGAAAAATATCGTGATCGAGCCCGTGAGCGACGTGATGGAAACAATCAAGATTACCAACCGATTGATCCAACGAGCGGTGCGAATGCTTATCGTGCCGTTGCACCTGATTCAAAATCTGGCATGGATGCAGCAGAACGTCGTCGTCAATTGATTCAAGAGTCAAAATTCTTGGGTGGTGATATGGAGCATACTCATTTGGTCAAAGGTTTGGATTACGCACTGTTGCAAAAAGTTCGAAGTGAAATCATTGTAAAAGAACAAGAGCAAGAAATTGAAATGGAAAAATTGGCCGAAATGGCCGAACAGAAAGAGATCGAAATGAAAGACGAAGATCCTCGTCCGGTTAAAGAGGAGCCAGAGTATCGAACGATTATGGGACGAAACATTTATAATACAATTCAATTCTATCGATCGCGTAATGTTGAACGCAATGAAATGTTTGGCGCCGGTCGAATGGCATATTCGTATGATGTTAGCGAAATACAAGAAGAAGTTGAATCGGATATACCAACTACGTTGATTCGATCGAAGGCCGATGTGCCACAAGATGATGAAGATTTGCACACGTTGACCACAAATGATATTGTTATCAATAAATTGGCACAAATCTTGCTGTACTTGCGCCAAGGTGGAAAGGGTAAAAAGAACAAACGGCGAGACAAAGATAAACCATTGCTTCAAGATGAAGACCACATGGAATCGAATGAAAACGAACGAAATCGCTCGAATCGCGAAAGTAAAAGTAGCAAAAAGCCATCAAACGATTTATCAATTTATGATGACTTGGACGATTACAGACCATCACGACGCGGAGACGATGGAGCTTCATCGAGCAAGCATCGCGGCCGAGCCTACTTTGACAAACCCAGCGAGCAGGAAGAACGTGAAGCAGGCAGTATTAATGGTAAATATACAGAATTTCAAATACAAATATATTTGTCACTTTTGCCAAACTGTTTCGTTCACTCTTTCATTGCAGTTCCACCACCGCCGAAAATCAATACGAATCTAATTTCAAAGCTATCGGGACAAGTTGAAGGGTACGCTGAATGTTATCCTGGTTTGCAAGAAATGAACGACGCGATTGACGATTCGGACGATGAAGGTAAAATATGAATCAAATGGTATTCAAGATAATAATAATAGATTATTAAAATTAGATTAATATTGGTATTTTTTTCATAATGTTCGGACGATGAAGTGGATTACACCAAAATGGATCTTGGTAACAAAAAAGGGCCGATTGGTCGTTGGGATTTCGATACGCAGGAAGAATATTCAGATTATATGAGTTCCAAGGAAGCTTTGCCCAAGGCAGCTTTCCAATACGGTGTTAAAATGCAAGACGGTCGCAAGACACGCAAAAACAAAACCGAGAAGAACGAAAAAGCCGAATTGGATCGTGAATGGCAGAAAATCCAGAATATCATTCACAAACGCAAAAACAAAGAGGGTGGTGGTGGTGGTGGCTCAAGGAATGACGAACCAGAATATAAAATTCCAAAACACTAACACGTTTCAGTTTAATATAAAATCTATTTATACCTATTATTCTAGCCGTATTTCGACTTGCATGAAAAACTGCCATTTGTGCAGTTACTTATTCAAAAAAAAACAATAGTGTTCATTCATAATAAACATTTTCTTTCCTGAAATTCTAAAATTCATTAAAAAATATTCTAAGTTTTTTAACTTAAAAATCAGTTTTCAAACTGATCCATTTAAAATGAGGTTTGCTGACTAAGCTGACATAGTTTTTCCACACCACCAAATAATTAGTGAATTTTCACGTGGCTTCTTGATGCCATTTTGATTGTTGTCTGGTACGCATTGCATGATATCATTCAGATCAAAGTGATGTTGACCGCTGCTCGTTGCTAAAATCGGTTTGTCTGGGTGAATTGAAATACCGTTGCAGCAATCATGATGGACTGAATACTGTGAATAGCAGAAGAAAGAACGAATAAATAAAAATATCCAACTTCGTTCTGACCATTATAAGTTTACTGTTTGCTCTTGAACTGCCGACAGATCGTTGAGGTTCCATGCATGAATGATGCCCGATGTATCACCAGAAACCAGCCAATTTTGGTCGGAGCTAATGTCAAAGTAAATCCGTTGATTTGTGCTGACCGTTCGTGTAAATTGTCCAGTTAAAACCGGTTCTGCTATGCGTCGTAAATCCCAGAGCATCAACAGATTATCCTTTCGTGCACCACTTATCAATTGATTTCTTCCATACAAAAAGCGTAAATAAGTTACACCACCGCGATGCTGATTTATTTGACAAATATCTCCATAGTTTGGTTCTCGAAGATCCAACAATGTTATATTTGCCGACCATGAACCAACCGCTATTATATTGTCTTCCGAATTGCGAGCCAGTGCTGATGCGGGTGATGCGATCGTAATCGAATTGTAATCACGACCGGGCACGTCGGTTTTGAAGACTTTTAACGTTTTCTTATAACCGCCAATCACTTCACATCCATCATTGGAAAAGGCGACACTGAGAGCTGATTCAACCTCATCAACGGCATTATAACCCCGATACGAACAACGTAAATCACCATAATATGCATCCCACAACTGGATTGGCTCATTCTGACGGGTCGCCAACCAACTGATTAGTAAAGAGATTGGAAAAATTAAGAAAAATGAAACAAAATCTATTCGATTTGCAATTTTTAATTGAATTGAGTTTAACTTTGCACTGTTTGAACTACAATCATGCAATATAAAATAGAAGCGGTTAGTTACCAACATGTAGCTGGGTCATTACTGTTCATAAATGGAAACCAACAGTAATCGTAAACAATTCCACCTTCTTTGATATGTACAGCGCTGTTTAAACAGTCCAATGGTCTGTCAGGTGAAATGGATTCAGCTTCGTATAAATCTCGTGGTGTTTCAAACACATGCATCCCATCACCGTTGACTGTTGTGAGTAGGCAAGTGCCATCCGGCGACCAAAGACATCCTTTCAAAAAGCGTTGATTCTTTGTGCTTCCTCTCCATGAGCTACGGGCCAACTCAATGACATTCTTTTCGATGAAAAAATCTATCGGTGGCAATTTAACCTCTTGAGTATCGCAATCCATTTCTTCTTCATAGTTGTGTGGTTGTTTTTCTTTTATCGGCGTAAAGTTCATGTCTGTATCAGACTTTTCTTCGTTTGGCGTAACATCAGACACTTCGACCAATGTGGCCAAAAGCTGATTATCGACTGTAACTAATGGTATTTTAAAGCGATATTTATCATCATCGTTTTTAGTTTCTGGCGTTTCTAATGGAGTCGATAATTCACTTATCGGACTAGACACCAGAGATATCTGATCCGTGTGGATTTCAATTTTATCCAATTTTCTAACAATTTCTTCCGTTTCCATTTTAACGTTGGAAAACAAACACCTTTATCACAGTTAATTTTTCGCTTCAGTCTATTTCGATACAACAGTGCCGGTAATTCTGAAATACGCTACTCAAATGTCAAAACATTGCCGCAGAGATGGTGAACAGTGTGGCCAACGTTGGAAAAATGTGACACATTGTGAAGCGTATTCATCGAAACAATTGTTGACACATAACCTTATAAAAACAAAGCTTGAGCAATTTTTGCTTGATCATTCAGCTGCAGAGTTTCAAAGGGACATTGAATTTATTTAGCGAAAAATTAACAAATTTAATTTAAAAACATGAGTTCAATTGGTACTGGTGTAAGTAAAATGAGTAAATTTTTATTCGAATTTTCGAGAAATTCATGGAATTTCGTTTTATTCAACGAAAATTCGTGTTCAGTTTCATTTTCACGGAATGACAAGCTATAGAAATCCTGCACTGATTTGTTGTAATTTAATTTCAGTACGATTTGTCTGCATCCCAATTCTCGCCGGATGGTCGAGTTTTCCAAATTGATTATGCCGGCAAAGCCATCGAACAGAGCGGGACAGTGATTGGGCTACGGGGAAAAAATGGTGTTGTTTTAGCCGTCGAAAAAATTGTTCGCAGCCCATTGTATGAAGAAGATGCTGGCGCCCGAATCTATTCCGTTGATAAGCATATTGGAATCGTATGTATTGGACCAAAAGTTGATCTATTTTTCATCAAACGCTGTTCACATTTTATTTCAATGTTTCGAAAATATTCATCTTATATTATGATGGCTTCCATTGATGATTCATAAATGAATTTCTTATAATTTGACAGGCTTTGGCTGGACTTCTCGCTGATGGCAGAACTATTGGTAAATATCAATGCTCCTTTTTTTCACTTTCACAAAGTGAATTGATAAGTTAAAAAGAAAATATCCAAAATGATCGCAATCAAATTGCGTTTCTCCTAGTTAAAACGGCTCGCGAAGAAGCTGCAAGCTACAGACAACAGTTCAAACGGCCAATTCCATTGAAAGTGCTCAACGACCGTCTATCCAATTTCATCCATGCATACACATTGTACAGTGCGGTTCGTCCATTTGGCGTAAGCTGCATCTTGGTAGCAAATGATCCACACACTGGCCCCGAAATGTACATGATTGAACCATCTGGAACATCATACGTAAGTGGTTTTTTTTTAAAGACACTTGTTAACCGAAATATGGGAATTGATGTGAAAATATAACTTTTACGTTCATTGCAATCAACAGGGTTATTTCGGCTGTGCCACCGGTAAGGCTAAGCAAGCAGCTAAAACGGAGATCGAAAAGTTGAAATTGCAAGACATGGATATCGAGCAACTCATCAGTGAAGCTGGCAAAATGTAAGCAATCTCAGAAAATGAATTTAAAAACCAAGTTATCCATTCTTTTATCTCTAATGTGGTTTTTCCAATTTAATTTTTTTCAGCATCTACCAAGTGCACGACGAGCTGAAAGACAAATTGTTCAAAATGGAACTGTCTTGGGTGTGTGATTTATCGGAAAATGTCCATCAAATGGTTCCAGACGAATGGTACAATAAAGCATATTTGGCCGGTGTCGAATCAAAACACGACGATGACAGTGACAATGAAATCTAAGCACATCACTGCCCACCCCATCGAATAACCATTCAGTTTATTAATGAATTCATATTCTTTTTACGATTAAACATTTATCTCGCTTTTTGATGGAAACTAATAAAAGATTCAAAAAGATTTTGAAAAATAATTTTTCCACATTCAAAATTGAGTTAATTTTCATGCTTTTTTTGGTTCGGTTTAATTTTGTGATATCATTCACGGCATTTGATAGTGAGTAGAGTATGTTCCGCAGCAGAACAAGTGTCAGTTCCTAACCTCAAAAGAATCGTCGACAGTTTTGAAGGTTTGATACATCACGAGAGGCAACAACAATTGAATGCTGAAAACAAATCGCATTTGAAGCTGCAATTCGGGCTGAGAAGGGAAAGAGTTTGCAAGTAAGAATAAACGAAAATGGCATTTCAAATTGTCCAACGTGTGGCTGGTACTCAAATCAAAACCGCTCCGTACCTTCAACTCACCGTTCGATCGGCAAGCAAAGCGGTAAATATAACCATTTTTTTTATTCGATACCTTTTTTTATCTAAATTAGATTCAGTGCTAGACGAATATTATATAATATTGACTTTAGAATATCGTTTGCGAAATACCCATTAAATATCAAATCAATGGATAGAAATCAATTGATAAATGTTAATTTAGTTGAATAAATAATTAATAAGTTGAGGTAAATGCATAACACGTGTGACTCTTTCAATATTATCATCCCATAAACACATCTCGGATAATTGTATCTCGAAGCAATGATCGTGCCTTCATTTTCCAATCACGAAAATAAACAAACACATTCGCTCTTCCCGACGTCAACTGCAGCTACAGCGCACGCCAATTATAAATTCGCATTGTTTTTGAGTTCCAGTTTGACATCGGTGTGTGAGTGGGAATTCGTGAGATGTTCGATTAAATAACAAGTTTGCCGGTCTTGCCTCTCTATCGCCTTCTACGTATGGCTTTTTTTTATCGCGCGTCAGTTGAATGTTGCTTAATCGCATATTCGTTTGAATAGAAATTACGTGAAGCCTTGGTTCACATGATACGGTGTGTTCCTTTTGATACGTCGCGAATGCGTAGCCGAACATCGAGTTTGACAAGAAGTAAATAGCTACATATAGAGCTAGTGTTGTGTTAGCTTCCAAAGCAATCAGGCGCAGAATACAGTTGCTCTGCTCCATTCTTTCTCTATATCATTTTTTTGTTTATTTTTGTTTTCCTTATCTTGATTTTGTATCAGGAACAATTGTGATTTAAATTTCTGTTGTTACTCGTTACATTCATTTTAAAATCCAAGCAGAATCGCATTTGAGCACCATCGTTGTGTTTTTTTTTCAAGCTTTAATTATTATATCATTGAATTTTGGCATAAATTACTCCCTTCTCTTTGCTGTGTGTCTTTCGAATCACTTTCGAATCATACTCACTAAAGGTAACGCATAAAATCTTGAGGTTACTGCAATTACTCAAATGGAATATTTTAATCAACTACACGACACACATACAACCAAATGCACGTGTGAACACAGTTGATTCCATTCAATCACCATAGTTGATATTCGCTTAGAAAATGTGTAACTTTTGAAACTGTGAAGTCGGAGTGGCTTTTCGCATTTTTGCCGCCTAATCACATGTGTAAATCATTGGAGCGTTCACACTTCCAAATCTCATTATCGAATCTAATTGGATTTGAGCGAGCTGCTTAAACGATTGTCACATGTCGCTTTCTAATCGAATCAATCAACAATTAAATGCCATTTTCTATGTTGGCTTATTGCGATTAAAACTCATTGTTATGTGCTATTTTTAGAATTATAGGAGCGAAAAAAGCACCAGAGTGTTTTTTTTATTCAATTGAACTTGAAAATAAGAACAACATTTGCTAAGGCGAATCGAGCATATCATTTTTTTAAGTCACTAGACGAACGCTTTTGAATCCAGTGAAGGAGTTTGACACTTGATATACGCTTGTGCAGGCACACTTGTTGTTTTTTCTATTCGTTAGTTCTATTGGCTTAAGAGAGGCAAAAAAATGGTTAGTGAATTGGCAAAAATTACTTTTTTGTATTCAACATTTTTTCATCATTCAAATTCTATTCATGCAAGTTTGAATTTTTTTCAAACAGATTTTCTAGCTGAACTCAGAATTCAATGTGACCTTTTTGTTATTCATGAGAATAAATTTTATTTCCATTTTTTTCGTTTTATTTGCAGTCTGGTGAATATCGTACTGAAAGTGATACTTTTGGTGAATTAAAAGTACCCGCCGATAAGTACTATGGCGCGCAAACGATGCGTTCAAAAATCAACTTTCCGGTTGGTGGCGATCGGGAGCGTATGCCGAAGCCGGTCATCGTTGCGATGGGCGTTTTGAAGAAGGCTGCCGCTGAGGTGAACAAGGAATTTGGACTCGATATAAAGGTCGCCGATGCCATTTCAAAGGCATGTGACGATGTCATTTCGGGCGAACTGTATGATAACCATTTCCCATTGGTTATTTGGCAAACTGGATCTGGTACTCAAACCAACATGAATTGCAATGAGGTAACATGACTCTAATAGGGTTTTGATTATGCGCCTATATTAATCATTTGATTCTATTCAGGTCATTAGTAACCGTGCCATTGAATTATTGGGTGGGAAATTGGGAAGCAAAACGCCCGTTCATCCCAACGATCATGTAAACAAATCTCAAAGTTCAAACGATACCTTCCCAACTGCTTCGCATATCTCGGTTGCCGTTGAGTTGAACAATACGTTGAAGCCAGCTTTGAAGATTTTGCACGATGCTCTCGATGCAAAGGTGAGCCATAATTTTGTACCAATTGAGTTATTTTTGGTTTATTGTTGATCACTAAAATAATGTTTTGTTCATAACTGCAATTAAATTTTCTTTGTAAAGGCAAAAGAGTTCAAAGACATCATTAAAATTGGCCGTACGCACACAATGGATGCAGTTCCGTTGACATTGGGCCAAGAATTCAGCGGATATGCTCAACAAATTAAGTATGCCATTGATCGTGTTGACAGCGTATTGCCACGCATTTACGAATTGGCAATTGGCGGTACTGCTGTTGGAACTGGCTTGAATACTCGTATCGGATTCGCCGAGAAAATGGCTGCCAAAATTGCACAACTCACGAAATTGCCATTTGTCAGTGCACCCAACAAGTTTGAAGCGTTGGCCGCTCGTGATGCATTGGTTGAGGTTTCCGGCTGTTTGAATACGATTGCCGTGAGTCTCATGAAAATCGGAAACGACATTCGATTCTTGGGCTCTGGGCCGCGATGTGGTTTGGGCGAATTGAGTTTGCCAGAAAATGAGCCGGGTAGCTCAATTATGCCGGGCAAAGTGAATCCAACGCAATGCGAATCATTGACCATGTTGTCAGCACAAGTTATGGGAAACCATGTGGCTGTTACAATCGGTGGAGCCAACGGACATTTTGAACTTAACGTCTTCAAACCATTGATCGTCTCGAATGTTTTGAGATCAATCAGATTGATTGGTATGTTTGTTCTTCTGAAAAGTCCTTTGCGATAAATTTCATTCATTTTCAACAAATTTCCTTTTTTATTTGTTCACAGCTGATGGATCCAAGAACTTTACAAGCAACTGTGTGTCAGGTATTGAAGCTAATCGTGACAATATTGCTAGGATTATGAATGAATCGTTGATGTTGGTGACAGCACTTAATCCACACATTGGCTACGATAAAGCAGCTAAAATCGCCAAAACTGCCCACAAAGAAGGAACCACTCTCAAGGAGTCGGCGATTAAATTGGGATATTTAACCGAAGAGCAATTCAAAGAATGGGTTCGACCAGAAGATATGTTAGGTCCAAAATAAGTCAATTCCATCTGAAGAGTAATAAGCATTCATTATGTAATGCAGAAAATTTCTATTCAAAATTACAGCATCAAATGTATAATTTCTTCATGTTTTTTAATGCAATAAACAAGTCGAGTTTCTGTTGATTAATTTAATCAAAGCCCCATGTTGTTTATTTTTATACAACAAAAAAAATATCAGAATGTTTCTTAAACCACTCGAGATAACAGTCGATTGTCCAAATGGGCTAATTATAAAAGACTCTCGAGATGATAGTGGTTGTATGTCAAATGGGCTAATTATCTGAATTTGTTTATCTCTTTCGTACATATCATCTTTGCTTGTGTCATCACTATAGCAACCAATACAGATAGCATATACCGCATTTATCACGTAATGAATTGCACATCCGAACGAAAAAATTGAGCAAAATCATAGTACTCGTTGAGTGAGGTCAAAGGATTATCAGTATCGATTTTGTTTTTGTTGTTTTTCAGTCATGAAAATTCGCCGTCTGTCGTTCACTCGTTTGATTTTGACACAGTACAAAATCAGCTTTCGTTAGATGTGTGCTTAATCTGTAGTACAGTAACAAAAATGGTGTTAAAATTAATGAGATTTGGTGTGCAAAGCCGCATGTTCTCATCACAATTGGCCAAAACCAAAATTGGATTGCTTGGTGTTCCATACAATGAAGGATCGTCGAAAAAAACAATTGGCACTGCATTGGCGCCAGAATTGATCCGAAAAAGTGGTTTAATTAAAGAAATTGTGGAATTCAATGAACACGTTGACATTAAGGATTTCGGAGATTTAGCGGTCGGAGAAGTAGAATTGGAGACAACAAGCCCAAAAAATATGCAAAACTACTCGCGATTCATGCCGTTGATGAAACGGATCAGCGAAAAAGTTCAGGAAATTCGCGCCGAAAATCGAATCTGTGTTACTTTGGGTGGTGACCATGCTTTAGCTGTTGGTACGGTAGCTCATTCATGTTTTTATTTATTGACGTTTTTTTCCCCTTTTGAATACAAACTCATTGAACTTTGAATTCGAAAAGAATTTTTTTTTATACGATCTTTCTCAAGGCAATTCTTTTTGGACTCTAAACAAATTTCGATAGAAGAGAGTTTACAATTTGAAAAAAAATGACTCAAAAATTTATTTCATCATTGAAGATTTTATTTTGAATAAAAGTAATTTTTGTGCGCAGGAACTATTTCCGGTCAACTCAATGCCAGTGAAAATTTATCGGTGATATATGTTGATGCCCATGCGGATATAAATACAAACTCGACGTCACGATCGGGACACATCCACGGAATGCCAGTATCTCTAGTGGTGAAAGAACTCTCAGAATACTGGGGCCAATTGCCAGGATTCGATTGGCAAACCAAAAAGTGAGTGGAACCGTTTACCCAATTTAGATACCGACTAATAATTGTAGTTTGGTCAAAGTGCATTTCATTTTAATAGTTCATCTTGTTGTTGTTGTTGTTGTAATAAATCCAAAGGTTGCTTTAAACTATCTTACCGAGTTCCAAATTACAAACTAAAAAAATACCTACGTTTACTCATACGTGGTTTAATCGGTCAGTTGATATTTGTTATATTGTAATGGTGTGCATTATGTTGATGCGCCTCCAGAGCAGGTTATCAATGAAATGATAAAATTTCTCATTTGAAAATAAAAAGAGAGACTAAAGACTAAAATTAGGTGAAATTCTAACAAAAATCAGGGGGGGGGATAAGCATAAGCAGCATTCGATACGAGAGATTAACGAAAAGTTCAATTGGAAAATAATTGCATGTATCGAATAAAATGGTATTCAATATGTAACAACAAAATAGAAACAAAATCTACTGATAAACGGGAATCGGTAAGAACAACCAAAAGAACTAATAGATAACGAATAATTGGAGCATGCAACGCATACATAATTCGTTTAAACATTAAATATTAAACGGAAAAAAAGAGAGAGAAAATGAAAACAATTACTGTATTACAACCAAAGCTAAGGTAAAAAAAATAGTTTCAATAATTATAACGTATGATTGAGTGGTGAAAGGCGTGCGAATAACTGGTTATTTGACAGAATTTAAAAAAAACGAGATATGATATATAGACTGATTCAAAGTCTACGAAAACTATCCATTTTGGCGAATGGATGGAGATTCCCTTTGCCATGCTCTTAAGTGAATAAATTTAACATTTCACATTTAACATTTTATTTTGAATTTATTTTTATAAATGTTGTTGTTGTTTTTTTTGGCTTTTTTGTATTGTTTGGTTGCTTTTTTTTTAAATCTTTTTCTTCGTTTCAAGTATTTCGTTCAGTTCATAGAAAAAGAAAACAAATTGTATACATTTTATCAAATTTCAGTCTCTTAATTTTAATCGATTTGACACAAACGTAGGCTCAACAAAATAACGAATTGTTTGTTTCCCTTCATTTATTGTGTTCATCTGTTCAGCTTTTTTATATCTCTCATTTCATTTTTTTTTTTGGTAAAAAAAATTGTAATTCGAATTGTTGCTTAAAAGAATTCTATTCGTGTTTTTTTTTGTGCTTCGTAAGAACATAGAGAAAACAAAGTGTCCTTGTTTTATAACATCTCTACGACTTGTTTACTTATAGAATATCACAGTTTGAAATCGATATTTGACTAATAGTTTCGTGTGTAGTTTTTTTTCTCTTCTAATTTGACGATGGTTTTTTTTCCTTCAATGCTCGTTATTGCTCTGATAAATTTTTTTCATTTTTTTCCTCTGTTTGCTTTTCAAATTGACAATAGGTAAAAAAATTGGTTATAGAATTTGTATGCTATTTCAAATCGCCTATATTTATTAAATGTAAGCGACAAAGCGTCTTGAAGTTATTTACTTTGATTCGAAATAAAGGATAGAAGGATCGTATTCGTAAATAAAATGAAAAAGCATAACCGAAATGCCATCGGAATGGATGATTTTGGCTCATATATATATGTAAAAAAGAAGAAGTTTGGAAGTATATATATATATATATAAGAAAAAAAACGAAAGTGAACGAAACATTCAATTTGATTGGATACTCCATGTCATTTGATCCTTGATGAAATACGGACAAAATATGGCTAAAATAGCAAAACTAATAAATGACATGATTGTGGTTAAAAAAGACATTGTTCGATATACGCAACGAATTGAACCGAATAGGCGGAAGTAAGGAAACAATAAATTATAGAAGAAAATTGTGAGAAATGAAAAACGCTCGTAATTTTTGTATCTTTAAAAAAAAAACACACAGAAAAATTTCTAGCGATAAAAATGAACACAATATTATAAAATTGCTTGTTGTTAGTATTTTGATTTGTTTTGTTTTCATATTTTGAACCAAACACATAGGAAAATTAAGGGAAAAAACGCATAAAATGTTGTTGTTGATAATTTGTTAAGTTGTTTTTTTGTTGTTGTTGTTTTGAAATTTGATAAAAATCTATGACATGAATAAAGTATTATCACAATGAGTGCATAACATGAACAGTTGTAGTTGAAAGTTTTAGAAAATTGGTTAGCAGTTACGTTGGTTTGAACGGTGGCGTCTATGAGATTTGGAAAATTTCATAAACTTCCGCTTCAAAGTTGTCAACAAAATATATATAATTAAATAAATGCTTGAATGTTAAAACGCAAAAACAACGCATGAAAATAAATAACACACTAATAACTGGAGCATTCACCCACAAAACCGCTTCCATTTCAATTGAATTTTCATTTTAATCGACCAAGTTTTTTGTGTACTTCGATGGAAGTGGCCTTTTGGTTAAATCTCACTGCGGAAACTAAAAAATTATGCAAAGAATCGCCATTGTTACTGTTATGTTATGAGTATTTGTTTGTGGAAGTATACACGTGCTATACATTAACAACCACATTCGTTGGTCCATATTGGATGGCAGCTGAGTGTTTGAGTATATCTTAAATGATAAACAACACGAAAAAAGTACAAGAAACAAAACGGAAATACCAAATAAGAATAAGAAAAACTAAATGTTTGTTAAAATATATGGTGGTTATTGTTAGGTATACTATATATAGGTATTGCATATGAAAACGAAAGGATCAAATCGACATCGTTATTAGTGGTCGGTTTCAAAATAAATGTGAACAATAAAAAAGAATGTTAAGCATATAGACATACATTGGGTTCTTTTTTCTGCTACCAGCACATTACCAAAAGATCACACTTGCTCAACTACTGTGTCAATGCGATCCGTTAGGAATGTGCTGGGCTCGCTGAGAATGAAGACAAGTGCAAATTAACAGCGTTATTGTTGTTAGATTAAAGAATGACCAAAAATAAACGGAAAAAAAGTAAACAAGAAATGAAAAATATATATGCTAATGGCTATTTATTAAATTGGCTGGCTTTTAACTGACCTCAAAGAAAAAGGAGAGAGCTGTTCATATCTAAAATAAAACTGGAAACAATATACGATATTCAAACAAGAATGCAATGAAAACGAATAAAAGATAAATACGAACAAAACGAGAGAGCAATAATTTTGCGTTTTGTGTGTGTTAGTACTTACCAAAAATTATGAACGCAAAAATTAATAGAAATTTCAATGGATCAAATCATGAATGACACCCGAAACAATTGAAAAACCATACTTAAAACCAAAGAAAGTAAAGAGGTAGCGGTTTTACATGTAAAAAGACATATTGAGTGATATTGTTTAGCAAACACGGGCAACACGGTCTCACTCTCCCTCAGTGTGTGTATATATTGTGTGTGCGGGGGTTAAATGATTTGGTTTCATAGCGGATTTGGTCATATTATTTGATTTTTGTTTTTGTTTAATACAATTTGAGCACATGATAATAAACACGTCAAAAAAGAAAACTGAAAATTTGGTTGATTTGCCATGAAAACGAAAACTCAAACGAAAGATTGATGTAAAGTAGTAGCTGTCTTGTTGTGCACACAAAAGTAACAATGGATGAAATACGAACTCAACGCAATGGAAAATGTTGACGACTTGTTTAGTTTTTGTTAAGTCTGGATATGTCCTGGAAAAAACCAAAGACAAAAACAAAATCGCCCACTGGCAAATGGAAGTATGTGGATGTGTTTGTGTGTGTATCGATCAAAAATACCGGAAACATAAATAGGAATATACGTATAGTCAGTGGGCATTTTGTTGAACAAATGAACGGCAAAATAATTAAAATCACTGGACATGTCTCACTCTCTCTCTCTATCTGGCACAAAACAAAACGATAAGAACAATTGAAACAGTGGACTGAGTGTGGTGCGAAAACGGTTAGTTTGAAACGACAAATACAAATACAAAACTCAAAAATGAAATAAAATGAAGAAATATTGTTGACAAAAACGAAAGTAAGAAACGTATGAACAAAACGAAACGAAACGAAAGAACGGAACAAACATAAGTTTATCACAAAATTTTGCGAATATTTTCCCAACCAGAGTTTGTTGTTGACCCACAATTGGAAAATGTTCGACATTTCTGTGATCGACGGAAACCATAACGAAAATTCAAATCATAAATCAGAAACGGAAAATAATGACCAAAATCATAAACTCCATATGTCCATGGTATTATACAAATACCGTCCATATTAAGTGTGAATATAAACGGAACAAGAAAGAATAAATCAAACGGAATATACGACAAAACGAAAGAAAAAGAAACTCGTAAAACGTATAAAAAAAGAGAAAAATAAACGAATAAGATAGAAAACCCAAGAAAAATTTCTAGCGAAAAAATTTATTAAATTTTTTGTGTTTTTTTTTTAATATTACGCTGACAAAAAAGAAAATCATACATGAGAAAGCAAACATAAAATTACTGTATAATATTATTATTTTTTTGTTTGTTTATAATAATCAATTAATAGATTTTTTTGTTTGTTTTGAAAATTATATAGTGGTTGAATTGTTTTTTTTTCTCTAGCAACACTTGTCACTCGTATCATTTTCGTTACACTACAGCAAATGTGTATGTGTATGTGTATGTTTATGATTGGTTGTTTTTTTAGTAAATTAATTCTCTTTTCTTTGTTGTTGTTGCAAATGAAATAATAATGTTCTTTTTTAGTATATTTGCGGGGAATAAAAATGATCGATGTTAGTCTGCGAGTTGACTGAGTTTGAGAAGTGGGTAGGAAAATAGCCGGATTAACAAAAAAAAAGCATATTTTGTTTTGTCAACTTTACTCATTGGTCTACAACAAGTTGAATCAGTTAAAGAAACAAGTATGCATAAATATTGTTGACATTTGAATTGGATATTCCTCTTCTTGTTTTTGTTGGATTTGTTATTTGCTTGAGTGGTGTTAGAAAAAACAAATTATTACTTAAAATTACACGAAAAGCACAGAAAATGCATGGTTAAAATGTTACGTAAAAAAGAGAACGAGACACAACATAAAATTACAATGAATTATTTTTTGTTTAGCAGATAAATTTGTTTTTTCCGTAAGTGATTTTTGTTTTAGTTTGATACATTCGTTATCTTACGACATTTGAATCTTGTTTTTTTTTTTCTTTTCTGTGTTTCACTTTTCTGGGAATTGGCTTAATTAGAAAAAAAAAAAATCAAACGAATGAAAAAAAAAATTGAAATTATTACACTGGGTTATACAAACTACATAAATCATTTTAGTAGGTTTGTTTTGTTTTGTTTTTTTTTCTTTCGTTTTTTGGAGAAATAAATAAAGTGAATTTGAAGTAAAGGGGGGTATTATTAAAACTACGTACATGGTATGAACTTAAAATAAAGAGAAAAAAAATCGGCGTGTGTGTGATTAGTGAAGAAGGGAAAAAATACTCTCTGTTCAAACACATCAATTTTGGCGCACAAAAATAAAACACACACTCCTTTTTTGTCTAACCTAATTGAAAAAGAAAATCGTGTTGCAATTCCAAAATAAAAGAAAAAACGGGGAAAATAAATTTAAACTTAAGATACAATAGCCGTTTTTCGTTCATATTCTTTTTATAGTATGCATTTTGCTACCAAGTGTGCCATTCTTTGGATTCGAATGAACAAAAAAAACGAATGAAAAAAATAATGTTGTTCAAATTTTAAAATCGAATCGAATAGATAAATTAGATGAAAAAATGATAAATAAATTTGGTTGAGTGTCAATGTTTGTTGTTGCCTTCTCTTTCATATATCACGTATGCTAACGATTTAAAAAGAAACAAACTACGCGACGAAATGAGACCTATTCTCCTTCTCTGAATGGATATGAAAAGAATGGTGTGAACAAAATCAACGGAATATTTTCTTTCAGCTAGATTTCTTTTTTGTCCTCTACGTCCAGTTATAATTGTTAATTTTTTTTACTACGTTTGAGAATCACATCGCATGAATGTGCTCAATAAATTTTGAATGTGTGTTTGTGAATATTTTTTGTTTTAATTCTGAATTAGTAATAAAGTTTGATAAATGTTTGTTTTTCGTTCTGGAGGATTTTAGCATACGATTGAATCGTGGATTGCCATTCGAGTGATAGCGATTCTTAGTAAGAAACCGTTCGAGGAAAAAACAATTTGAATACATGTTTTAAAATGTATGGAATTTCCATTTAAAAAAAAACCTTAGATCATCAGAATAGGCGGGCAGGGTGTGTGTATGTATGTGTTGTTACATTGATTCCATTCGTTAAACAATCTATTAGTAAAGTGATGGATGATTTGTTCATTTTTGTGTGTGTGTGTGTTTTCTGGCTGTCTGAAATATTTTGGATTTTGCTATGTTTCGGGCGGCGACATAATTAGGAAAATTGTTTAGATGATTTCGCCTTCATTTGTAACTTCTATTGCACACAACATCAAGATCTTAAACAACTAATGAGATAAGATTGATTTATTTTCTTTTTGTTTTATATCATCGATTCATTTCAATATTATTGATTTCTATTTTGTCCCATTTTATGTCATTTCTATAGATTTGGTTTATGTTTTCTGGTTTTAAATTAATAGCAACAGATTTCGTTTATTCATTGTATTCGATTAATTCATAAAATGTTTTGTTCGGATCAGTGTGCCGTGAAACAATTTGATTGTGGAAGAAAATGCTTTGGCCAAACATTTATGTTGCTAATGTCACATTTACGTGTGTTTTTTTTATTGGTTCTCTCTTTAGCAAAGTTATAAATTTGTTTTGTTTTTTTTTCAAGACTTTTTCTCAATCATGAATTTGCACAACCATTTTCGTATTGAATTGCCAAATGCATCATATTCCTTAAGTATGTCTATGTATCTGTGTATACTCTGGGTTCTTTTCTTCCAAGTTTGTGTGTGTGTTTCTCTTGAAGTATAGGTTATATTGAGTTAAAATCATAGTGTCATCCTCTTCATTTTTTTTCCTTCGTCAATTTTTTTCCATTTTTTCTTTCATCTTCTTCATTTATATATAATACATAATAATAATATATTAAAACATACTTTTATTCTATATATGAATATTTATAGGTATATTTTATGTTGGTTTTCAATTCATTTATTGATAAATTACGTTTAGTCATGGCTCGATGGATCAGCAGACATTAGCATTGCATTGAGCACTGCAATTCAGTTGGATGCAATTCTGATGTGTGCTGGTCAACAGAGAGTGTTGTTTTTTTGTTGTTGTTATTGAGATTTGGTTAATAAATAAATAAATTATGCTAAAAGAATTTCATACTTATTTTTCTCTCTTCTTTTTTTTCCTTCATCATTTGATGATTTCTCTCAATCATCAATTGTGTCATCTCTTGTTTTTCAATTTCGTCTGTCGATCAGCGGACAAATTTGCGCTTCCTTTTACATTTTATTTTTTTTTCTTTATAATAATCAATTAAGTAATGCGTTTAAATCTTTTAATAATTTTCTATTTTTTTTTATAAAAAGTAGTTTGCTGTGTGTGTGTGTGTGTGTTTCTGTATTTGATACATTTTTCCTCTTTAATTTATGAGTGTCCTTTTTGCTAAGCAGCATTTCGTCATACCATTGTATTTCATTAGACCGTGGATGGAACAAGTTCCATGCTCGAACTTTATTTCCTTTACTTTAATTTAATTTAATATTTTAATTAAAATCGAAAAATGCAAAGAATTTGAGACGAAATTGAAAGAAAATAAATTAATCGCAATGCTCTCACGAAAAATACTAAATTAACATTAATTGAGACAAAAAAAAAGAAAAAAGAGAAATAATAATAATTATACGCTTATGTTCCATACATGTAAATAAATTAGATGATTTCTTGCATTATAATCAGCTACGAATTTTCTTTCTCTACAATTAAAATGATGCATAAATAGATTCTCATCAGTGTCATTTGTTTTTTCTTGTAACTTTCGATGTTGGCTTTACCCATTGAAAGTCGAGAAAATTGAAAAAAAAGAAGAAAAATTGTTTGCTTAATTAGGTGTTCTTCTTTTTATGTTATTCCATTTTTGTTTTGACTAGAATTTTATAAATATTTTTTGTTGTTGTTTATTTTTTTTCATCATTTCTTGCATTTTTCAAAGATTTTTGCTTCTATAACATGATGGTATTTGGTGCAAAATAAAAATTTCGTCCAAGTGCAACCAAGTTGACCATTTCGTTCTTCTTTTTTTTTGTTCCTTTCGACGGGCACAATTTGATGTAAACCCAACAGTCGCTCTTGCACATTCACTTGCTATTCGAATGAAATTGATTTTTGGTGTTTTTTGTTTTCTCGTCACTTTCATTTGATCGAATTGGTGGAGACAGATTTGTTTGTAAAAAAAAATCCAACATAAAAATGATGGTACCATGAACGCGTAGCGGTTTCTTTGTTGAAAAAAGAAAAAAGAGCATCGATACGTAGGGAAAATTGAAAATGTTGCTTTGCAGCAGAAAAAGAAACCAAAAAGAAATTGCTATTGAAACATTTGTTTTTTTTTCATTAAATGTGTGTATTTTTTGTGGTTGTTATTTCTCTTTTTGCTTCGGGTTGTGCGTATCTGCCCTGCTCGTTGCTTTGCTTCAAAATTGTAGCTTTCATTGTTTTTCTCCTTTTTTTGCTTCTTTTTTTTGCTTCTGTCTTGCCTCCTAGATAGTTTATACACACTCACATTTATTGCGCAAACACATAACGGCTATTAATGAGTATTCATTTTCGGGTACCGTTTCAAAAATCGAAAGCTTCACAATCGACCAATTAATAACATGAAAAAGAAAAATGAAAATCACGGTATCAAAGTCCATAACCAATATAGTTTTTGTTGTTTGTTTCTTTGTTTCAAATGGCTTTTTTCTCGCTCAATTACTCAATTCAGCATACGACACAACAGTACAAAGGATTTGCATTTAGACACATTTATAACGTTTTATCTAAATAAAATGTAATGAATATTGCACTTTTTTTTCTTCTTTCGAATTGTATTTTTTTTCGTGTTGGTCTGTGTCTGCTCGTTGGGATGTGATGAACTGCGTCAATGAATTGGAAAGTGGAAAATTTCTTAACTCTTTTCTTCTTGCTTAGTTTGAATCAAACAGTATACATATACAGGATATAGTATATATATATATATATATATATTCAAAGCAAAGATAGGATTGCGCAAAATAACAATGTGCAGTTCAGATGGGTCGTATGCCGTAATGAGACAAGTGAAAATATGTTGAGAGAAAGATAGAGGGAGAGTGGGGGACAAAAAAGGAGAATTTTCATGGAATCAATTTTGCGTGTTTTTTTTTCCTTCATTTAAAAATGTGTCTACTAAACTGGAAAATTATTCTATAAAATAGTTTATTTTATATTTATATGGTAAAAAATTGCGTTTTAGCTTTTTGGTTTAATCACAATTGGCTAAGGAGTATTTGTATGATGTCTGTTCTCTATTCCTTATATTTACGTTTGATCGGTGCTTCAGCGCCGAACTATCCTTTTGGTGTGTGTTTTGTTGCGGTTGTTGTTGTTGTTTTTTATCTGTGCTTTCCTCATTTTTTTTCTACTGATTATCAGGTTCAACATGTGTACACTTTCGTAATGCTTTTTCGTTTTTCTTTCTCTTGATGGAATCAATTGTGGAAACTCATTCGTTTTTTTTTTCTTTCTTCATTCTGTCATCCGAAAGTTAAATAGGTATATATTTATATGTATGTATATATTCGTTAAATTCAGTTAAAAGCCCTGTTTTACTGCTTCAATCCTACTTTTCATGCTGGATTCTCTGTCGAAAAGCGCATTTTCAATCGTTATTAAATTGTGTTGGTTTTTTGTGTGTTATTAAATTTTTCTTTCTTTCTTTTTTCGGTTCTATGTAAACTTTATCTTTATCTAGCACAGTACACAAATAGCAATGAAAAATGTGAGAATCGATTCTGTTTCATGTTATTCTCTCTTTTTTGTTGTGTTTAATGTTTGTTTCGTAATAATACGAAATAGGATTTTTTTTTGTTTTCTTGTTAAATTTCAATCGGTTCAGTTTGCATGTCAACAAAATGCGTCGCTCGATTTGATTTAAATCGATAAAATGGATTTATTTTTGCTTGTTTGTCTTGAATGAAACTTGAAGTACTCGATTGCCGAGAGCATAACCGTTTAGTGCACGTATCGCCATCATTGCATCTTCGTAATTGGTCATGGTGACAAAACCGTATCCTTTGCACTGGTTGGTGGCCGAGTCTTTGATTATTTTAACACTTTGAACGGCACCGAATGGTCCAAACAATTGCCACAATGTGCTCTCTTCGGTTTCGGGTGCCAAATTATAAATAAAAATGCTCCATCCGCCACCTGGGGCTATGCTGGTTATGCCGTTAGCACCGGGAATCATGACATCGGTTAGCATTTCGCCGGCCATCGGTGAGAATCGGGCCAAGCCTTTGTTCACGGGATTATGCATGGCGCCACCGATGCGTCGTGCTAGGTGTGGTGCCAAGAATGTTGGTACGGGTGCTTGAAGGACTTTGTTCGAATTTGAACCGGGTGTGTTTGAGAATTTCACCGAAATTGGTTCAGTGCATCCTTGTGGTGTGGTTCCATTGATGGCTTGAATGGCACGCTTTGCCTCATCCCGTGTATCATATCGAATGAAGCCAACACCCTTTGTTTGTGAATCGTTGCCAGCATTTTGCAAGATGCGCGACGTAATTATCGTACCGAATGGTGAAAAAATGATTTCCAAGTCTTGCTGTGACATTGTTTTTGGCAATCCCGAAATATACAAATTGGCTCCCTTGATGGCATCCGAACTGGGCCGTGCAAATGACACTTTGATCGTTTTATTTTGTAATCGTAGCCCATTCAACACATTAACGGCCTGTTCAGCATCCTGTGCCTTAACGTAGTTAACAAAACCATAGCCCAAACTTTGACCTTTCGGTGCACCCGGATTCATGGGATCGGGAAATACAACGGTTTTATCTCGCACTAATTTCACACTTTCCACTTCACCCACACTGCTGAACAACGATCGAATCTCTTCTTCGGTCATTGTTTGCGGCAAATAGTTGACAATCAAATTGGTTTTATTTTCACCTGAACCATCGTCCGAATCGTTGCCATTTTTCTGGGCCTGTTGCTGCTGCTGTTGTTGCTGTTGTTGTTGCTGTGCTGCGCCCAGCAGTGCTTGGGTCTCAAGACCTCCCGTTGCAATTGTATTGGTCATCATCTAGATTTCGTTGACTGTTGTCTCTCGACTCACTCTAGCTCTATACTCGAACACAGTGATTGGGGCTGTTCCAAAATGAAACCACGTTACTTTTGGTTTTAATAAAAAAAAAACTGTTTACAGTAATTTCAATGTGATTCAATGAACGAATAAAATACTTTTGATCGTTAACATATGTGTACACGCACCTTATTCGCACACTCTTTGGGCGGCTCGCTAATTATCCAAACAAGTGGAACGTCAATCGAGAGCACCTTTTTATTCTCTTTTTGATTTTGTCTGCCTGCGACCGTTTTCTTTTTCTACCAAGCAAAAAAAACGGGATTCAACAACTTTTCTTTTCTTTTTTTTTCTTTTTTTTTGATAATTAATACAAAATCGATCCGACGACGATGGCAAAGAAGAAAACAAGTCTAACTTTTTCGGTATCAATCGGAGCACATGCGATTATGACAAAAAATATGTATATATATGATTCGACACGCAAGTGTAAAAAGTCAAAATGACGAGCACCACTAATAGAGCGCGCGCGACAACACGACACACAAAATTATTTCATATATATATTTGACTGAATGTTTCTGAATAGTGAGTACTCACTACATATATCACTTATATGCGTATCGGAGAAGACTGACGGTATAAAAACCACGATGCAGAGCACATATATATACTATATATATGTATGAACAAAAAAAAACCTCGTTCAATCGATTCAACAACGACGAATATAACTAGCGAATCGCTCTGTGTAATGTGTAATATCTCTTTTCATTCAGAAATACAACTTCCTTGGGCAAAGCCAAATTTAATTTGTTTGATATTCTTGTATTTTAATGCACCCAAAAAAAAGAACAAATTTGCTATATTTTCCACACAAATTTGAGAAACCTTTTCACGTATTATGTACCTTTAGCACGAGAAATGATTGAATTCTCTAAATTTTAACGTTGTTTGTTGTTGTTTCTAGTGCTTTGTTTCTTTAGATTATTTTCTTTTTTTTCCTTCTTTTTATAAATTTTTTTTTATACTCTGCGATCGACGAAACGCGATGCGTTCGCTCGAAAACACTTTTTACGTATGTGCGGCTGTGGCTCTGAAATCATACGAAAATGTCTTTCTTTCCATTTAGCGCACGCCAAATATAATACGCTGAGCGGAGAAGCTAACGCATACAAACATACATCACGACATCGGAGCAAGTCTGTGTGTTTGTGCCTCTTGCCTGTATGGTGGAATAGAGAACGAAGAGAACGAAAAGGAAATTGTAGAAAAAAACGTATTGCTCGATTCTGAACGCATGCGTGTATTCTAGCGAACCAAATCAAACTGTACCAAATAGTCAGAGGCAAGCGGACACAATAACGTTGTCTGAATGTAAAAGAGAGAGAGAGAGGAAGAGTGAGGGAGCGCGCACGCAGGTGAGAGAGAGAGAGAGACAGACAGTGTGAAAGAGAGCGTATATCTGTATGAAGAGAGGTTGGAACGCGCACAGCCGGCTTCATTTTCAGTAGCAAAGAGGGAATACGTTACGGTTTGCTCTCTGTCTCTCTCGCAATATGGGTGAATGCGCATGTGATTTTACGTCGAGTTTACGTGCGGAGGTTCAGTAAACAGCACATATGCTGCATTAAGAAGAGCGAAGAATGAAAGAAAAAACATTGTTTTACTGCTGCCGCTCTCCAATACAATCGCCACAGTAGCGCACACACATATACACACGTTCGATACGAGAGAACATTAGTGGCATCGTACACAAGCCATATCTATCTAGACAAAAACTCAAAAAATCAATAGCAGTGCATTTCTAGGGTTGGAATTATTATTTTAACAGAAAGAAAACCACGTAGAACTTGTTCGTCGCAAAAATTGCTAACGAGAATGGATTCTCATTTACGATGATGATTGACCAATGCTTGTTGGTAGAAAGGGGAAGGAGACGGTAAAAAAGCGTACATAATACTGATGATTCTTCGATTATTTTTTTAACATCTGTACACTTGACGTTCACTGACTGGCTGTGCAAGCAATTTTAAAAGGCGGTGAAGCATTCCTTTCGGAACGAGAAAATTTCTTGCTTCTTCGCAAAAGTCATGCTGTGTTTTTCGTGCTTTTGAATATTTTTGTTTGTTTATTTGTTTTGGGGGCATCATATTTTGAATGCATTTTTCTTTCGTTGTGTTCATGCACTTAGTGCATTATGTGTCCAAGTCCATTGACATCTAGCACACATATTATTATTGTTATGTGTACAGTGTGGTCCCTTCAAAAAAAAAAAGGATATCACACATGCTCTCGTCTCATCAATCCCATGGGTTTCATTTAAATGTTTCTGTATTTTTCTCTTCATTCTGCTTGAAATGCGTACATAGTATGAAAACACCCTATTCAAACCGATCTCGTTAGCAACGCGTACATAAACAACACGCATTCGAAATATTTGGAATTAAACTTGTTTTTTCTTTAAAAGCGTTTCATCCCTATGCTGAAAATTTAGCCATTTTCTTTGTGAAAAATGATGCAAGTTCCGAAGGATTAGATCATTACATAACATCTTATTGCTAGGAAAACTGCAAACGCTCTGAGCCGGCATCAATTAAATTACACCGACTTGCTACGCAGCCCATTTTTACGATTGATCCTTATGTTCAAGCGAAATCACTCTCAAAGTAATTTAGTCAAAGATGATTGTTCTTCGTTGAAACCAAGATGCGCAATAAAACTGAAATCTTCTCAACGAAATACACACTGTATTCACATTCGTCACCCAGCGCGAAAAGCAGCAAGCTTCCGAACATTAATGTTACATAACAACGCTCGTCCCTAAATAATCTCGCTGCTATTATATCACATTTATGTAGAAGAAGATGAAAAGCAATCTACATACGAACGCATAATGTATGGATTTCATTTTGATCATAACATGGGCTGATGGATCGAAATGCATTTTGCATTGGGTAAATACATTAAAATAAGACACACAAAAAAAGTGTTCGTTTGCAATAAATGGCTTATTTTGAGAATCAAATTTATCATTCCTGGTTCGGTGAATGATGTTCGTATTGCTTGGAAATTTACATACGGTTGCCGTTGCTGCAGAATCAAGCGAAGATGGAACATAAAAAATTGATAGCAAACCATAATGCATTGCTTTCCCACGTTTATATCGATGGTGCTTGCAGTCAGCATCGGCAAAGCGATGTGTATCGCCGTTGTGTGTGTACGTTTTCGGAGGGTGAAATTTATTGATTTTCCTTTTTTCGCGCATCGCCACTTTGTTCTCATAACTTGTTTGCTCTCTCCATTTCTCTTGCACAAACACTCTCCGTGTTCATCTCCGTACAATTCGATTTTTAGCTGTGCCTTTTTTATGCTGTGATGCTTGCACAATCGTGTACTACACAACATCCGCAGCATTTTGTACGGTGTGACTGTGTGTGCTAAGCGAACCAACGTCGATCAATTTATATTTTCGCTTCTAGCATTCTTCTTTTTTTTCATTTAGCCACGAAACGCACACACATACGTTCACGGACAACGCATTTGGCGAAACACACCCTATTTTTGGAATGTCATCGGGATTACATTAACGGCAAGGATACAAAATCGTGTCGCTCGCTGCATCACAACACTGTTTGCAATATATTTCGGTTTTTGATGCCAGTCTGATGCAGCCGAAAATGAAATACAAACGATTCATGAACTCAAACGATAGAAAATGTAAAAGCATTAGGAATGGGAGAGAAAGAGTCGCTGACCGCCTCTAGTTAGAAATATAATAGTGCATACGGTGTGTAGCATTTGAGCTAGACACAAAATGCACACATACACACTCTCCTCTTGCAGCAGCAGCAGCAGCAGCAGCACACACACACACATACTCGCATACACAATAAACAGCAGAGGTCAATGAATCCTGTTTCGGTTGCAGGCAATCGCACTTTTCTATTGCGTTTGCTATAGCTAGGGTAGTTTCGGTTGTTTCGTAGCCGAATTTTGTGTTCAGTCTATTGTGCTCATTGTTTACACCACCGATGCATGTACACACATAGAACATGTTCAATAACAGAAACAGTGCATCGAATCCGATATGGCATATCCCAACTAGGCGATAGATTGAACTGGCATAGCACAGACAGAATCGATGTGTAGTCGAATGCGATTATTCCAGTATTAACCCTATGGACTATTTGTCAATAGGAAAAATACATCGGTGCATTCTCTCCCCCTCACCATATACATTGTGTTTTGTACATTGCCGTGCTGCGATTCGTACCAATACATTGAGCATACATAGACTATGCAATTTTTATGGTAGCTACAACGCATTTAATTCCGTATCAGTTTTTGAAAAGCATATCGTCGATAAATCGACAACGTATAAAACAATAAAACAAATACAACAGTTAGATGTTGCTCGTTTTTCGAAAGCTCAAACCATAAAAAAATGTGATTTATTGTCTTGAAAAGCCATTAACATGCATTTTGATTTTGACTTGCCAAAAAAAATAATAATACCATGATAGATTCGATCAAAACATGCGCTATTTTTTTTCTCGAGCCTTATATTACGACGAAATAAACGACACAGAGAAAAAAGCTACGATTGTCCTTTTTTTTCATTCTATCCACACCAAGCCCTTAATCCTGAACGCTATTTCTTTTTCCATTTATTTTTATACATACAATGGAAACAGAAAACACAGAACAGTTACTTTAATTCGGTTTTCGCGTGTTCATGTAAATTTATATTCACCAAACATCGCCTGCGAACGTGAAACAATGAGACAAACAAAGCCGAAAACTGTACAACACATAGTCATATACGTATGGTATGTATTTGTTCATTTGGAGGGTTGTGTTTCGTACATGTACACGTCGTGCCTTGGTTCGGCTCGGTTCGGTTCGATTCAGCTCAGCTGAAATGCTGCTACAACCAAATCTTACGGCGACTCTTCGAATCGCTTGAATTTCATTTACGTACATATATGCGAAACGAATTCGAATGAGCGGAAAGGAAAGAACGGAACACAATGTTCAATATACGTAGAGAATGGATATAACTCGATTTTAAGTTTCATATTTTGATTTCAAGCATGAACCTGTACTGCTGCATAGCAACCATATATGGCTAAATATGGGTATACATGTTCAACGTTGCATAGCTGTGAATTTATAGATTTGTACACAAAGTTGTAGCACAGCTCTTTGTCACACAATATATATCCATTTGGTGCTCGTTCTACCTCTTTCTTTCTCGAACTCTGTTTTTGTTTTTTTTGTTGTCGTTGTCGCTGCCGCTGCCGCTGCTGCTGCTTTCGGCGAGATTTTCTTTTCGAATTAACCCATTTCAAAATGCACGAGCCAAATACATATTCAAAAAGTCACCCTATCTTCACGTAGTTGGGACCTTTAAATTTGAGAATTTCATTTGCATAATGCGTTTTAGCGTTTAAATTGCTTTTGTTGAGTTGTAGCCTGCTGCCAAACGCATACTTTTGTACAATGCTCGTCACACGATTTCCATCGAACCCAACACATTTTTTACACAGCACATTCTGCGTTAATTAATCCAAAGAAAAATTTATTTGAGCATTTTATACGCTTGTTGTTTGGTCAAAAGTTGTAAGCTTATAGTTGTTTTTCTTTTCTTTGTGGGTCTTGTTCCATTTACTTGATCTATTTTTGGGGTACTCCATAAATTCCATATAGGCCTGATTGGATCTTTGGATATTTTCGTACTGTTTCTTTTGCTTTTGGTGAGACTTTGCTTACGCTGCATAAATTGGCAGGCATAAGTGAGAGAGAGAGAGAGAGAGAGAATGGTATAATTTATGGCGTTTGATATGGCCATATCATTGTGCTTGTAAATAATTATAATAATTTCATCGAATGTAACAGGGTTGCTTGGAGGGAAAGGCATGCCGGCGTGAATTATATTTATATATATTTATTTTAGCCGACATGACCCGATGGTCAATACTACCATATCGTCGTCACCGCAGTCATCGTCGTTGTCGTCGTTGTCGTCGTGGTCGTTGTTCAGCTGTTTTTTCAAATGGTATAGATAAATCGATATTACGTCTTTCGTAGTAGCTAATTCTTGTTTGGGGGTGACAGACACACACGCATACACGCAAAACATTTTTATTTTAAAATATTTTGCTTTTGCATAACTGTTCTAGTCTATGGAACGATACGATTGTGTGATCCACTGTCAAGAACAGGCAGCCAGCCAACCAACCACATACACTCGACCATGCATGCGAAGTAATATTTTATCTGTTCTTCAGCACGTGCGATACTTTTAAAATGAAAATTGAACCAGTCCAAACAAAGCGTAGTCACCAAATGCTAGTCCTTTTTTCACAGAGAGATAGAGATAGAGAAAGAGAGAAAACACAAAGTGCAAACTCTGCGTTTGTTCTAGTAATTATACGGCAAAAGAGATATCCATCGAACTGCAGTAAAAAGCGAGAAATTTTTGTCAAGGGTGCAAAGACCGGAAATTTCAAGATTTTATGTATTCATTCTGAACTCAATGTGTGCTGTTGTTGCTTTTTATTCGTATTTTATAAGATCGGGTTTCACAATGCAGTGTTACTGGAAAGACAAAACTATAGTCCAGGTGCCAAATCGTCATAAAAAAAAGGATGCTGCAACTGAGCACGTTCCACCATAAAACAATACGCACAGTACACAGTCTAGTGTGACTAACATTTTTCAAATTTGAAGCTGTCGACTGTAAACGAAACATGTTACCATTTGGACACTCATTAGAAAGTTCGGCAAACATATGAAGCAAAATAAGCGATAACATCTGCGACATTTTACTATGATTTGAATTTACATATTTTGGTCTATTGTTTGTATCAGCCACACAATTGCATGTATTCTTTTATTTTAGCATAACTTCCGTTAGTTTTAGCATACTTCATTCATTTCAATGATTAAATAAATGTTAATCACCATCACTGTTGTATTTGTATATTTTGCAGATTGTCCCTAAAAAATGTAGCATACATTGGCTTACGCTCAGTGGATCCTATGGAGCGTTTAATTGCGGAAAAATTCAACATCAAAATGCTAGGCATGGAGGTGAGGTTTACTGTGTTTTTATTGTCTGCTTTTGAACAGATAATAATTGGTTTGTTGAGATAATATTTTCATTTACAACAATTATCTCACGTAAATCCCAATTATAATTGAAGAGCTTGAAAAACGGTTTTATTGTCGATTTTTGTATCCGTTTTGTTTTCAACAGTACGTCGATAAATATGGTATCAATAAATGTATTGAAATGGCCTTGGATCATATTGATCCGAAGAATGAACGAGACTATCACATTAGCTTTGATATTGATGCGTTGGATCGGCATGAGGCTCCCAGTACTGGCATATCGCGTAAGTGGTTTTCATTTCATTTTATTCGTATTTGAATGTTTAAATTCGAATTGTACAATTTAGATCATTTTTCAATTGCAGTTGCCGCTGGTTTGACGCTGCGTGAGGGTATTAGTATAATTGAACAAGTCTTCAACACTGGCCGCCTTCGGGGTTTAGATATGGTTGAATTGTGTCCGGGCATTGGCGATGCAAGGGATGTGAAAACAACAATTGATTCGGCCATTCAATTGATCGTTGCGGCTTCAGGCAACAAACGTAGTGGCAATTTGCCGCTCACACAACACGACATTCCCAAAAATTGACTAATTTAAATACGATTTTTCATTTCGCAACAAATCCATGTGCAAACGAATACATTTATTTGCTCATTTTATTTTGATTAAAGATGCACACCGTTTTTTTTCTCACTATTATTATTTTAGGAGCCTTTTTATCAACAAAGGGGCGCTTTGATTTCATTCTCAAGCGTTGCCATCAATAAATAAAAATAACAAAAAAATCACGTTCACCTTTGATCAAATCGTGCTATTTGCTTATTTACTTTTTTTCATTCGGATGTTGTTACTATGCAGCATAGTCACTGTGCCCATAGCAAATACTTCTTCTTTTTCAGTCAGCGAGAACGAGAGACGATGTATGAGTGTTTTCGTATTCTAGGTTCGTTTGAGTTCATTGTGCACCGATCGAACATGCGATTCGAAAAGTATTTGATTGCATCGAATCATGTATTGGCAACAGAGAGATACTTTATCGGCATATTGCGAAGGAATCGGGAAAAGTGCAATAGCCTCGGAACTGACGAGGGGAGAGAGAAAATGATGCACACACACACATACGAAACATTATAAGCCATCTCATTTTTTATTTTCCAAAATGCCTTTTACATCTTATTCGCTTCGCTTCATTTTTACAATGCACTCACCCCATTACGTGCAACTTTGGACCAATCATTTTTTTATACTTCGAATCACAATGCTATCTATTTTTGTATCATTCACTGTGTATTTGTGACTTTTATCGGTACACACATACACAAAGGAGAAGAAGAAATGAATATATGTCCCTGAGTATTTGTCGCAGCAAAAATGAACAAAATTACTTCAATCAAAACTTTAAATGATGAAAACATTATTTGCTCTAATATTGCTTTATGTGGGTAATTGCATTTTCTTCCTGGAACAATCTTCTTAATTGCTGATGAGAGAGAGAAAATGTTACATAAAATGAAGAGCTAATGAAAAGTTCAATTAGTTTGTAGTTCAACATCAATTTGTCTCGTTTGGTTACATCCTTTTACCTTCTCTTCGTGTAGGCGAATACGCGTCGTATCGAATTTTTATCATGAAAATGGTTAAATTATAGAAAGTGCCTCTGTAGTGCCATCTATGAGTGAAATTCCTGCAAAAACTATGAGTTAAATGAATGCCATCCAAAGTTGAGGAGACGGTCGGAAATTCTTTTTTTTCATACCAGTGGCCCATAAAGAAGATTAAGTAAAATAATCGTTTGATGTAGTTTTTTTTTTTGTTAAAAACAAATTTATTGTTTATCAAAAGTCAGTAGAAAAATATTCGAATTGGTTCCGAAACTGATTTTCTTAATACTAAACGTCATATTCAATGTTACAAGCACATGATTACAGCAAAATAAAATTACGATAAACTGACACAAATTAAGAAGAAGTGAGAGAAAAAAAAACTGACTCCCGTTGTGAATCATTGTGTATGCATCTGTCCGTGTGGTGATCCCTTTTTGCGGATAGTTTGTTCGATTTCCATGACCTTTTGCAGCGATTCGGCTACTTGTGTCAGTTCATCGTTCAGATGCTGACTCGTATTTTTCGCAAAAAAGTATTGATCCACATTGATTTGTGCCTTTTGCACAAGCTCTTTGTTCGTTTGAAGATTCTCTTTGAACGCACTGGTCTCAAATTTGATGTCAGGCAATTTGGTGGCACCATCGAATATACCATACTGCATTTGATTGGCACGATTTGCATAGAACTTTTTCAGTTTTCGTTCGTATTCTTTCTTCGCTGCACACCGTACCGCAATCACCTCGGTCAGTAGATCATTCAATGCTTCCGATTCTTTTCTGTGTGACGATGCCATTTTATTTTTCTGCTTAATTATTCATCTGAAATACAAACATATGAACACAGATTAGAACAATTTCATATTAAACGTTAAATGTCGCGTCGACAATCGTCATGGATAAAGCCCATTGATTTCGAATATTACACACACAACACAGTCAGTGTAAACAACACCCGTCAAACATTCACAGAACATATTTTTCATTACATTTCTATTCAGCTTTTCAGCTTCAACTCACCAAATATCACTTTAATTTGATTCGTCGATTTTGGACGCACACCGTTTTCTTTCTTTCTCTCTCTCGAATGTAAACAAAACTAAATCAGAGAATGATTCTACCGTGATGTTTCGATCTCGTTTAGCAAATTTCAGTTGTTTGACAGTTTTTAAATTGAAATGTTGTTGCTGGCCGTATACAGATGCGTTGACATTTAATGGTCGAAATGTCAAGCACAATGGAGACGCGCAGATGCAGGGCTGAACAGTATACACGATTAATTGCTCGTTATGAACATTTCTGTTGGGCTAATTAAAATAGAAAACTACATGAATCCGTTTGAATTTTTCTCATTGTTTAATAGTTTTTTTTCTTCTGCAATACGATATTAGATTAATTTTTAATGTTGTATTTTGCGATTTCAAATATTTAATGTATGTATTAAATGTAATTAAATGTAAAATGCAAAAATTCCCAAATTCGTTCTTCTGGAATTCGTTATTCTGGATGTCGAATGTATATTTTAGTCGATTTAATGTACAAAATGATTTTGTTGTAGCGAAATTTTCAATTTTGACTAAAGCATATTCGCAACGAACATTTTACAAAGATTCCGCAATCTTATTTGAATCAAAAACCATTTGGAAGCAGCCATAGAAGGTTTTCTCATGTCATTTTGCATCTAGGAATGAACAAACGAAAAATAACATTTTTCAACGAAAAAAAAATTACAATATGAACAACATTTAGTAAAACTCTAGCCAAATCGGCTCGCTTCGCTCGCCGTTTCGGCTAAAATTCGCCGAGTTGCACTATTTTCAAAACTTCGGGTTATTGTCGCTATATTTGTCATTACTTCAATTCTTGTGTCACCCTCGGCTTCTTGCGTCATCTCTCTAGGTTCATTTTTTTCGCAATTAATCTTTTTTGGGTTTTAAATTCGATAGCTATTAATATATCACTGACCTGACAACAAATCAATCTAGCTACTTTGATTCGAATCCAAAATACAACCGTTTGTTTTTTGGATTGGAAGATTACAATTTTGGCGATGTATTTGGAGTTTGCCTTACATTTTGCCAAAATTCAATTATTATAACTCATTTTCTGTTCCACCGCATAAACAACAATAAACATTTAGAAACCATTAATACCTTTCTGTGTCTGGTCGTTTTTAAATCAGTATTTCAAGCTTCATTCTCTTTCAAGCTACTCTATCTCTATCTTAAGCCGATCTACGTGTGTCTTCTCTCCATTACAAGTATCTTTCATTCAAAACAAATTTCACTCATGTATGGTTTGTCCTGATGCGAATTATTAATTTTTTCAATTTATTTATTTTTAAATGAAAAAAAAACTCTTTTACAACAATGCGCATTTTATATTTCATTGCCATCAATCCACATGAATGTAATATGGAAAAACAATCAAAAATTTTTTTTTTCGTCAAACTCCAAAAAATTTCATTCGAAAACCAAAACTGGATTTATAAGATTACTCTTAAGGCCGCGCGAAATCAAACAAGAAGTATAACAATAAATCCATGAATCAAAAAAAAGGAGAGATAACTGCAAACATGTGTTTTAAGATTGCTGAGCATCTCAGCATTTCGTAAGGCACGGATATATCCGAGCATATCGACGACGCATACAGTGGCGTGCGTTGCAGCGCGCAGCCGCAACGACTCGACCGGAATGTGTATGTTTTTGCTGCGTGCAGCCACATCAACTGAACACACTTCGGTCGAGTCGTTGCGGCTGCACGTGCACGTAGCAACACACGCCACTGTATTATACAGTATGCGTCGTCGATATGCTCGGATATATCCGTGCCTTACGAAATGCTGAGATGTTCATCAATCTTAAAACACATGTTTGGATAAATGGCTACATACACAGACACACACAGACGAACATTCAGTTTTATATATTTATATAGATTGTCAATCTGTTGAGAAGAATATTTGAAATGTGGTTTACCATTAACCGAATTTATCGTCCCAACAATTTTTGTTTTAAACAAAAAATCCGTTGAATTCAAAGAATGACTAATTTGTACCAGATTCCCTTGTTTAAATCCTTTCTTTGTAAGATGAGCCTATAATATATGCCCTATATTTAATGTAAAGTGCTTCACACACTAATTATATTTACTAATGATTCAGAACGATTTCGAATAAAAACAGTAAATATTACTTTGTTTGTTCGAAAGTACCTCAACTAAACCGAGCAAAACCGAGCGTTTAAACGGTTTTGTATATTTTATTAGAAAAACAGTTAAACGGAGCATTTAACTCTGAAGATTACTCATTTTTTGGTGAACAAATAAAAACTTTTGCAAACAAAAGACACACGTGTACTTTTGAAACGAAACGAAACAAACGAATGTTCATAAAAAAATGAAGGGTTTTAAATGCTTTGTTCTGCGTGATTTAAGTCCATCAGAGAGTATTGAAATGGTTCCCCAATAGAGTATTCTGCTTATCAAAATCAGAGAAAAACCAAACAGGTTCATTGTTCTAATGTTCCCTTTATCAAAATTATGAGTGAACATAATGAAATAACAGTGCTTGTGTGCATTCCAAATAGAAACGGAATGACTTCGAATAAATAGAGGCTATGAATAGCCAAAAGATCAAACTCTATTAATAATTGATGACAAAAACAAAAGATTTGATTCCATTTGGAAACTATGAAACCACATGCCATTGAAGCTATTATGATTCATTCGTTTTTTAGCCATTACGTGTACTTTGGCGATGAAAGTGAACCAAAATCAAAACTAAGTTGGAAATTGTTCAAGAATCAATTAAATGAATAATGGAATCGTGGGCCATCATTTTTTATTGGAAAAATTGAATAGAACCAATTTTTTTTTCGTTCATTTCGGATCAATCTAATTGTTATTTGTAAATATTTCATTTGATTCGGAGGTGTGCATACCGTTTAACTTCAACTGAGGAAGCAAAATGATTTAATTTAATAGTTGCATCGAATCGAAATCTACTTCAGTTTGAGTTTGAAATCGTCGCATTCCAGTTGGAAACTTTATCGTGTCCCAGTGTGTTAAGAGTTTAACTTTTCACGTTTAATCTACAAAGATGGATCCATTGAAATCGAATCAATCTGTTTTGGAATTGGTCAGTGTTTGTGCGGTTGAAGAAAGTACTCCTTTTTCGATATTGATGAAAAATCAGCAATTTTACGTGTTAACGACCGCAATGCACATTATCAGTACAATATTATCAGGAGTGGATTTCATAATTTACGCGAAGATCAATTATGTTGAAGGATTATATGAACTTTTTCCATCATCTACTTTGATCGTCTATTTACATACCTTGAGCACACTACACCATCATTCTACGAAAATGCAAACTATATTTTCAAGATTTAAGGAAATTCATCGTGAAGGTGAGATAAAAGCAGCTTATAGTTTGAAATCTGCAAATATAATCTTTTCGCTTTTTCAGGCAAACGCTCAGAATGGTTCCAAAAATTGTCATATGTACATCGGTTTGGTTTGAATTTTTTGTCTTTATTCGTTACATTTTGCGGTCTTTTGAATCCTACCAAAGTGTCTCAATGTTCATATGGTCATCTTATCAAAATACCTTCATTATGTGTAAGTACCTGAAAAAACAATTCTCAAAATATTTTCTCAGAAAATATTTCAATGTTCTGTGATCAAATTCAATTTTTCAGTTCACCTTGAAGCCAAAGTACAATTTTCGGATACTATTATGGGTATATACCACCCTAAACCATCCATTAAAGTTATACCAAACGATTGATTTAAAGTGTGTCATTGCATTTCACCTCGATAAAATTGGAACATAAGTTATGTGACAATCAAAAATAAAAATAAAAAACATTATGATCCACAAGTTGGCTGATTTAAGAAATATCTTTGAAGCTATTACTTTCACACGTCATGTCATACACGAAATACTAGATTAGTCTTGTGAAATGAAAAGCTGATGCAAAAACTTCATTGTTTCGAACATTTATAGAAAATGGTGAATTACGTGGATTCAACATGCAATGCGAACATGTGAAACAAACATCTTGTCCATGTACATTTGACCAATTACGGCAAGTGTGTCAAATTCTCGACGATTATTTGAATGATGATAATTTTTGACCTTGAAGAAGACACATCCGATTGAGTCAATTAAATTAATAAATTGTTATATCAGAATTGTATTCCACATCATTTTACGAAACCGGAAATCTTTTAATATGAAACAGTGTTACTGGGCAAACTGTACGAACAAGCACTATGATGATATTTGAAAATTGTTCAAAACATGGCATAGTATTTCAGCCTATTTCAGCCTCATGGGTCAAGAGTTTTAACATTCCGAAAATCATTCTCTCAGCTTATTCTCAAATATGTCTGAATTGTTAGTACCAAAATATTGTCCACGTGTTTAAAGAAAAAAATCATTTAATCTAGCATTCGCCTTCTCTAAAGACAAACTATGCTATCATATTTTTCTTCTTCTAAATGGTACAAATCGGAATGGGACACATGTCTATTTCACATCACACTCAATGTTAAAATTTTCAAATGTTGATATCAATTTAAGTTACAGTTTGATGAACGGTTCTTGTCTTACATGGAATAATTATTGTGAGTTAGAATGTTAAGCAAAGTGGTTTTTTTTATTAAAATTGATCATTTTATTCACTCGGGAAATCCAAGGTTTGAAAATATTATAATGGTATCTTGATAGAAAATGTGAAGAGATTAAAAATGGAAATGCGTTATGAACAAACATATTTTTTCGGGTGGTTTAGCATCATTGGATGAATTTAAATAATATTGACCCTGAATATTTTTTCTCTCTCGAATGACAACAACATCCAATAGAATTATCTTTAGTCCCAAATTAGAACTTCCAGAATCAATTATTTAGTCCATATGTGTACGTATTCTGAATAAAAAACACTAATAAGTTGTGAATTAGTATTGTAAGTCTAAAATCCATTGCGAAAGTCGAGTAATTTGATCTTTTAATGAGAATATAGAATAAAATGTATTTAATGGGTGTGATGTGAAATACACATGTGTTCGATCACTATTTTCTGCAGCCTATTTCCTATTGAATGCGATTTTTTTGGCTGCTTTTGTCGTTATTTGCTTTCAATTTGACTCTTTGCGAATTCATTAAGAAAACATTTTATCAGAATTGAAGGGAATAAGAGAGATGACTCCCAAATATGGTAAAAATATCAAGGAAATACTTTGCACAGGCTGTGCAGCACAGCGATTACTTTTCAAAATTCAATGAAGGAGTAAGATTCATACACTCTTTGTAAGCTTCCATTTGTGAGCATCGAATGATTCATTGACGGTTTCAATCTGAAACTAGTAAAGTTTATTCACATTTGTAAAAGAAACTTTCACGTTTCACGGGGCAGAGTTTGACTCAGGCGACAGATATATGCTTTAGCATGGAAAAAATATCAGCATATTTTTTGGTTTGTCCACTCTCAGTATATAACGGCACCCAGCTTCATCGAGTATCAGCACGCACACTGAACGTGGTAGTATAGGACGGTTTGTTTACGAAGAAAAAAAATTGTTTATAAACAAAATCTACCAGAACTATACAGCGCAAAACCTTAACATAGGATAGCATTGCTGCCGTTTAAATACATTGCGCTGTACAACTCTGGAAGATTTTGTTTATAAACAATTTTTTTTTCTTTGTAAACAAACCGTTCTTTAATCTATATTACTACGTTCAGTGTGCGTGCTGATACTCGATGAAGCTGGGTGCCGTTGTATAACCAAAAAATATGCGGATATTTTTTCTATGCTAAAGCATATATCTGTCGCCTGAGTCAAACTCTGTCACGGGGTGAATCTTTGTATACTTTGGCATTTTCGGTATCTTATTAGTGGTCTTATTACTTATTAGTCTAATAAGATGAACCTATATTATTACTCATTACTTTTTTGCACTAGTAATATATCTAGTGAGTATAGTTATTAGAATGTTATTGGTCGAACGAGTAATAAGATGCATGGTATCTTATCAGTATAGTTATTAGATGAAATATATTTGAGTAATGATATGGTGATGTTATTAGTCTGGAACCAAATGTTTCCCATTGATAACAAACTGATAAGGAGTGCGAATT